ACCCAGTTTAGGGAGTTTGCATTCTGGTGGAAGAGGCAGAAAATGAAGAAGGAAGCCAAGGGGATAAATGCAGGTGGAGGGAAGGAGTTTGAAGGCATAAAACAGGACAGCGGGATGAGACGAGGCTGTGGCTGCGTCACAGGAGGAGTGGGGAAGGTGTTGGAGGCCTCCCCTGGGACACTGCAGAGACCCATCAGCAGAGGAGGAGGAGGGGTGATGGGGTCCCTGGGGTCAGTTCAGCTCTGAGTCTTCTTGGGCGGCTGCCCCGTGGCCACCTGCTCCACTCCATGGAGACAAAACTCTCCCATGGCATCAGCTTCTAATGGGGGCTGGGCGGAGACGGGATAGCTGAGCTTTGTCCCCAGCTGACACCTGACCTCTCCCCAGATGTAGGGGGGCCTGCAGACCCCATTGCTCCAACCATCATCATTCCTCCCAAGAACACCAGTGTGGTGGCCGGAACCTCGGAGGTGACCATGGAGTGTGTGGCCAACGCCAGGTGGGTAGTGCCTCCCCCGCGTCCCCTTCACTCTTAATTCCAGTGGCTGCTCCGAGGAGACCAGTCAGAATTCAGAAAGGTCCAGAAGTGTCCTATGAGGACCCACGAAAGGAGAAGGGGTATTTAGCCTGGAGGAGGGATGACAAGTGGACATGCTAGCTACTGTCAGAGGGTTGTCAGATACAGGCGGGGNATGTGTCGCCAGGATTGAAATCCCTGTTCTAGACACACTGGGGGTCCCCTGAACAGACAGGCTGGAAAGGATACAAACAACCAAATCAAGCGAAAGTGCTGTCACTTAATCCTGCATTATGCGTCCTAAGGGGCCGTTCAGGGATGGTGCCTGGGCAGGTGTAGGCTGCCAGCCTGAAAAGCTTTCAGAACAGCTCTACAAGAAAACTCTCTGGTGTCTGAGCCCAGATCTTGACAACCCAATCTGAGCAGCCCACTTTTAGCCAATATTAATATTAATCAATATTTTATTGTTCTTTTCTTATTATACAGATAGATAATAGATATCCATTTTAGATGGAAAACATAGAAAATGCAGATAAGCCAAAAAATAAAATGGGGAGGGAGAGAAGGAGGGGGGGAGAGAGAGAGAGAGAGCGAGAGAGAGCGAGAGAGAGAAAGAAAAACAGATTTACCTGTTTCCCTCAGAGATAGTACTATTTGGATGCCATTTAAAAAAAAAACAACTAGAAACACACTGTTGATTAATCTGCTTTTTCCCCTCAAGAACCTATTATGAATCACTTCCTGATCAATAAGTATTTTTGTATAAACTCAATTATATGATTATTCAGTCATCCATTTTGTGGGTGCCACATAATTTATGTTACCAATCACCTAATGCTGGGTATTTGGATTGTTTTTAATATTTTGGCTAATATTGAGAAATACTGTTATGAATGTCCTTGTAACTAAACATTTTTGCACATCTTTTGTTTCCTGAGGGCTATCGAATATCATTTTAAGCTGAGAGGATGCCTGCAAACCACTCATCAAAATTGTTTAATAGCCAGCTATATAATTACAGATTACTTTGGAAAATTTTTACCCTCAGTTAAATGGATTCATGGATTTTATTTTAAACATTCTATTATGCAAATTTTCAGACATACCCCAAAGTAGAGAGAATTGTATCACCAACCCTCGTGTACCCGTCTCTTGGCCTCAACAATTATCAGTGTTTTGCCCAATCTTGTTTCGTCTGCGTCCCCCCATTTTTTGTTACAACTGCAATATTTTAAAAGCAAACCTCAAACATGTAATTTCGCCCTTAAGTAGGTCAATGTGCCTTTCTTCCTGAAAAGGACTTTTCATTAAACATAACAACCACGTTCCCCTGTCACACTTAACACAATAAACAACAATTCCTTGATTTCTGCTAATACCAGTCCATATTCCAATCGCCCTGATGGCCTCAAAGGTGTCTTTTCACAGTGGGCTGGTTGAACTCAGGGTCCAGACAAGGTCTACGCATTGTGTTTGGTTGGTGGGTCTCCTTTATTCCACACAGTCCTCCTCTCCTCCTGTTTATTTCTGTCTTTATTTTTGTTTTCATTTTTGTTTTGTTTTCATGCAACTGATTTGTTGGAGAAACCAAGTGCGACAGGACAGAGGTCAACAAACATTTTTTTATAAAGGGTCAGAGAGTAAATATTTTATGCTTTGAGAGCCATAGAGTCATTGTCACAAGTACTCAACTCTGCGTTTGCAGTGCAAAAGCCTTCATAAACAATATGGAAACAAAGGGGCATATCTGTGTTCCAATAAAACTTTATTTACACAAGCAGACAGCGAGGGGGCCATAGTTTGCTGACCCCTGCTATAGAATCCCACCCTCTGGATTTGACTGTCTATTAATATCTTTTAATGGTGTGGTTCACTTGTTCTTCTGTCGCTTGCATTTCTAATTAGATTCAAGTAACTGCTAATTAGATTCGAGTTGAGTTGTTTTGCCACAGACACATGTCACAAGTGGGGTTATATGCTACCTGCAGCACTGCATCCTGGGGCAAAGAATGTCTGCTTGTAATAGGTTGTTTCTTAAGCAGGAACTTCTGCAACTAGATTTGCTTTTAAGCAAAATCCTACTCCTCCCATCGATGCTGGCAAAGATGATTCTTCTCTAGATAGAGATGAATTGAAGGTGATGACTTTTGGCGATTTGTAAATATGTCTAAAAAGCCTTAAAAGTTAACTTGGCAATGGCACTGCTGAGAATTTACCCTTGAGGAAGTGATTTAAAAACCTATGTAAATATTTTGCTGCAAGGATGTTCATCACAGGCGTTAACGATAATATCAGAAAACAAGGAGCTAAACCGGACTCCCAAGTTTACGGGACCAATTACAGGACGTTCGGATTTGAAGCCAAAGCCATGGTGTGGAGAGATCACATGAACAAGAGTTGATGGTGTTTTCTTGGGTGGAGAAAGCAAAGAATGGATGGATTTATAGCTAGATATCACTTATGGAAACATATGCTGTATCAGTAAAATATGTAGTGAACCTCTGTTATCACTAACCATGTTTCAGGCACCATTCTAAGTATTTTATGTGAACCCACGCAGTCCTTCCAGCAACCCTGTGAGGTGGGTGGTGTTATTTTCCTCATGTGACAGATGGGGAAACTGAGGCACAGCGAGGTTAAGTAAACATGCCCAGGGTCACAAAGCGAGGTGGCCAAAGGTAAGTGGCCAAGGCAGCGTCTGACCAGGGAACCTGACTCCAGAAGAACATAGCACTGTGGTGCTGGCCTAAAAGGGCGGGGAGAAGAGTTTGGAAGGTATTTGCTCAAATGTTCATCACACCTGCCCTTTATGGGAAAACTTTCCAGTTGTCTTTTCCTTTTTCCTTAATTTTTTTCTTGCCTGTACTTGCAACTTTTCTGACTTTTTGTTGGTTTGTTTGTTGGTTGGTTGGGTTTTTTTGTTGTTGTTGTTGTTAACTTAGGTTAAAAGTGTGACAGCCTCCATCTCCCTAGCAGTCTTATAATCTCTTAACCCAGATAGTTCTAGGACCCTGTGGCTCAGGCCCACCCCACTGCCCCCCCCCACCATTGAGCAAGCGATGGGTTCTTTGCAAAGCATCTCAGTCCTCACCCCACTCCCTGTCCTGGTGCTGGACCCCTGATCCATCGTCCCCGGTGCATGGCAGCATGGCACCTTCCCGGAGCTGGTTCACGTATGTTCATAATAATAATGGTTGTGTTTCCTCAAGAACGGTTCCAGAGAAGATATTTCATATTGTCGGGTGAGGGCATGTGTGTGATTTCTCAAGTCCCCTTTGTACTGACTGACCGAAGCTAAAGTGACTTTTTTGGAGACTCAAGTCAGTTTGTCACAGTGATGCATTGATCAAATGATTCTCCTCATAAAACTAATTCCAAAATGTGGTCTATGCGAAAACTTTCATTCTCTTTTCCAGCTGTAATCTTTTCACCTCTTGGGAAGAATACCTTTGGCCAGCTCTTTTGTGCTGGCTGCTGGGCAATGGCTTCCGGCCAAAAGCAGCAAGGCTGTGTGACCTAGACCTGAACTGAAGGTGTAAATAACCGATAATGACTTCATGTGTTAACACTCCTGGATGTGCAGCCTTCCCTCAGGGATGATGGACTGCAGGCTAAACAGGCCTCCACAGAGCTCCCACCCCAGAAGTGCCCCAGAGAGCCGGCCGGCTGTGGCCCGGGAAACGCCTCCTGCAGACCAGCCCTGGGCGGAGCACACCCCCAGGGGCCCCCTACTTCCTTACCTGTCTTTACTTATTGGTTCTTCTTACTCTTAGGTATGCCTGGGAGAAGGACGGGGCCACCCTGGCCATGGAGAGCAACCCCCGCATCCGCCTGGACAAAAACGGCTCCCTGCACATCTCGCAGACGTGGTCGGGGGACATTGGCACCTACACCTGTCGCGTGCTCTCAGCTGGAGGCAACGACTCGCGCAGTGCTCACCTGCGTGTCAGGTAAGGGCCGCCTGCCCAGGCCCCGGGCAAAAGAAGGGTAGACAGCAATGCGAGGGCTCATTGTGGCAGGCCCCCAGGCCACGTGTGACCTGGGCCCACCCACCTTCTCCCAGACACGCCCAAGCATCCTTCCAGAACTTTCCCCCAGCTGAGCTGAGCTCCCTGCAAGAGCAGGGGAGTCTGAGTATGGCTTTGGACAGGCGGGCTCCAGTGCCAGGGAGAAGAATCTGCAGGTAGATGGTCCGAAGGCCAAGTTTTCTGGCTGAGCACAAGACATCATGGAAGTTCAACGTGAATCCTGGCTGCCCGCGTGTCACCTGACTCTAAACCTCACAGGTGGCCTCACCACGTCTCTCTCCTCCAGGCAACTGCCTCACGCTCCTGAGCACCCGGTGGCCACTCTCAGCACCTCGGAGCGGCGGGCCATCAACCTGACGTGGGCCAAACCCTTCGATGGCAACAGCCCCCTGATCCGCTATGTCCTGGAGATGTCAGAGAACAGTAAGGCTCACGCTCCACTAAGCCAGGGAGGGGACACACCAGCCGGGCTGGGCTCCAGCACCCCGACTTCCTAGCCCTCCGCCTTTGAGCAAACGCTTCCTTCTGAAGCCTCAGTTTCCTCATCTGTCAAATGCTGGCATCTGCCCCCTGGGGTCTTCGCCACAATTGAAGGAGGCCACACTCCTGAGATGCAGCACTCAGGAAAGCCTGCCACCCCGGAAGCCTTCCGAGACGGTGGCGACTCTTTTTTTCTTTTTATCCTCCAAGTCCCCAAGCTGTGAACTCCAAAATTAGCAGGCTTAATTTGAATGGTGTTTTAAATACAGTTTGCCTAAAGCTCATTCGTTTGAGGAGGAAAAAAAAAGAAAAGATGGAAAAAACAGATGCTTCTCAGTTCCCGTGAGCCCTTGTTCCCTTCTCAGCACCCTCACCCCCACCCCACCTCCGCCACATGTGGGCTAAGGGGACCTTGAAAATGATGGGACCAGCCTCTACTAGACCAAGCCCTCTTCTGCTAGCCCCAAATGAGGCTGGAGCCCTGCTGGGAACGGGGGGCAGGAGCATGACCCCCCCCCCCAAGATGCCCACCTCCACCTCTACCCTCTCTCCCCGTAGATGCTCCCTGGACCGTGCTCCTGGCCAGTGTGGACCCTGAGGCTACCTCGGTGATGGTCAAGGGCTTGGTTCCCGCGCGCTCCTACCAGTTCCGCCTCTGTGCAGTCAACGACGTGGGGAAAGGACAGTTTAGCAAGGACACGGAGAGGTAGGAGCGGGGCTCTTCCAGGCAGGTATAGTGACACTGACATAGTGACTCTGACCGAGAGAGCTGCCTGCTGCCAAAACCAAGTTAGCAGGGTGGGGCCAGGCTGCCGGTAGATTCCTGGGTGGTTCTCTCTCAGCCCTCCAGGCTTCAGTCTCCACATCCGTAGAATGGGTGTAAAAATACTCACGCCTGCCTCACAGGGATATGGTAAGGATCACATCAGATCATACAAGTGAAACGCTGTGAGCAGCGCCTGCCTTGGGAGAAGCACTAACCAAATTTAGTTTTCCCTCGAGCTGCAAGCTATGCAGGTTCAAAGACTTGCCTCATTCTGCCCTGCGTGCCCACGGGCTGCCATCATTGTTAAATTGACATGCGGTGCCAGGGGGATATAGGATCTGCCCGGATCTCCATAGCCAGGGCCTTGCATAACACCAGCCCTATTAGGCTCTCAACAAAGCTTTTGTAAAATGATGGAAATTGAATAAAAACAGCAGGTCATCCATTTTAAAACATCACACGGAATGTTTTCTTGAGGTGGCGAATTCTAACCACCTCAACCCCATAGAACAAGCAGCCACCTCTAATGAGAAAGAAGACATTAAGAGGTCAGAATGACAGCGACACAAATTGCATGCACCAAAACCCATGCCCTTCGCTCTTTATTTTTTATGCTTTTTTAAACATTTTTTCCAGATTTATTGAGATATAATTGACGTATAGCATTGTGTAAGTTTCAAGTGTACCTGTTGATTGGATACATCACATATTGCAAAACGTTTCCCACCATAGCATTGGCTAATATTTCCATCTCATCACATGATTACCCTCTCCTTTTTGTGGTGAGAACATTTAAGATCTACCCTCTGAACAACTTTCAAGCATACGCTACAATATTATTAGCTATAATCACCAGGCTGTGCGTTACATCCCCAGAACTTGTTAACCTTATAACTGGAAGTTTGTACCCTTTGACCACCATCTCCCCGTTTTTCTCAATCCCCAGCCCTGGCTAACCACCAATCTACTCAGTTTCTCTGAGTTTAGGTTTCTTAGATTCCACATATAAGTGATATTAGACAGTGTTTTTCTTTCTCTGTCTTATTTTACTTAGCATAATGTCCTCAAGATTCATCCATGTTGTTGCAAATGACAGGATTTCATTCTTGCTCATGGCTGAATAGTATTCCATTGTGTGTGTGTATATATATATATGTGTGTGTGTGTGTGTGTGTGTGTATGTACATATATATATATACATATATATAATATATATGTATATATATATATATATCACGTCTTCTTTATCCATTCATTTGTTGACGGACACTTAGGTTGCTTCCATATCTTGGCTGTTGTGAATAATGCTGCAATGAACATGGGGGTGCAGATAGCTCTGTAAGATGCTGTTTTCATTCCCTTTGGATATATACCCAGACGTGAGATGGCTGGGTCATAAGGTAGTTCTATTTTTAATTTTTTTAAGGAACTTCCTTATTGTTTTCCATAGTGGCTGCACCAATTTACATCCCCACCAGCAGTGCACGAAGGTTCCCTTTTATTCACACCCTCACCAGCACTCATGATTTCTTGGGTTTTTGATACTAGCCACTCTGACATGTGTGAGGTGGTATCCCATTCTGGTTTTGATTGCATTTCCCTGATGATTAGTGATGTTGAGCACCTTTTCTTGTACCTATTAGCCATTTGTATATCTTTTTTGAAAAAATGTTCATTTATTTCCTCTGCCCACTTTTTTAATTGGTTGTTTTTGTTTGTTTGTTTTCCTTTGGGATTTGTTGTGTGTTTTATTTTCCGCTATTGAGTTGAATGAGTTCTTTAATTATTAACCCCTTATCAGATATATGATTTGCAAATTTTTTCTCTCATTCCATAGGTTGCCTTTTCATTTTGTTGTTTCCTTTGCTGTGCAGAAGCTTTTTAGTTTGATGTGGTCCTGCTTGTTTATTTTTGCCTTTGTTGCCTGTGCTTTTGGTGTCATATCCAGGAAATCGCTGCCAAGACCAATGTCAGGGAGCTTTTCCCCTGTGTTTTATTCTATGAATTTTACAATTTCAGATCCTATATTTAAGCCTTTAATCTGTATCAAGTTCACTTTTCTGCATGGTGTAAGATAGGGGTCCAGTTTCATTTTTCTGCGTGTGGATATCCCGTTACCCCAACACCATTTATTGAAGAGACTGTTCTTTCCCCATTAAGAAGAATTAATATTGTTAAAATGTCCATACTACCCAAAGCCACCTATAAATTCAGTATAATCCCTATCAAAGTTCAAATGGCACTTTTCACAGAAATAGAAAAAACAACTGTAAAATTTGTATAGTTCCAAAAAGACCCCAAATAGCCAAGCAGTCCTGAGAAAGAAGAACAAAACTGGAGGCATCACACTTCCTGATTTCAAAATAGTCTACAAAGTTACAGGAATCAAAACAGTACGGCGTTGGCATAAAAAATGGACACACAGACCAATGGAACAGAATTGAGAGCCCAGAAATAAACCCACACATATATGATCAACTAATATTTGACAAGGATGTGGTTTGCTTTTTAAAAGATGCTCTTAGGTTTATACGAGTATGCAGACCCCTGGCTTAATCTATCATTGTGCTATTGCCGCAGTTCCAGTCCTTTCACTAGCGGAACGCCACAGGGGCCGTGACATCCTAACAGGAGAGAGAAGTGGCAGGTAACAGCCTATCATGGAGAGCAGTTACAGGAGGATTTATTTATTTATTGTTTATTGAACACCTACTATGTGCCAGGCCCTGTCTGGACCGCTACAGGTGGTGCAGGGAACAAAGTGGATGTGACCCCAATCCTTCAGCGCTACAAAATCCCAACAACAGAAGGCCTCCACGTTTAGGGGAAACCACCCTACAACTTCCCCCGTTCTTCGGGCTTGACTGTAAAACACTGATTCACCTTCACAGTGAATCTTCATACTAATGACCTTGAGTCAACACGAAAGAGGTTAAATCGCCCTTCCTGCAGGCTCTCCGTAGACACGGCCATGTGTATGTAGTACGTGCTAGAAAGCTATCCATCAGGAAGCAAGAACGTAAAAATAAACAAAAAGGGAAAGACATCCATCAAAAATAATTAACTTTTGTTTTTAATGGATGCGTGTCAGTTATGTGAAAAATACACTGAGGTGGAACACTGTGTCCCCCTGGCAACGCCAGACAAAGAAATGCACTGGCACGCGGCTCCTGGAAGCGGGTGGATGTGCTCGCACTCACCCACACACTGTGTCAATCCACCCGGCCTGCCCCGCCCCAGCCTGGGGCTCAGCTGGTGAGGAAAGCACCACCAGCTGGCAACGGGGAAGCGAGGATTGAGCACCCCTGCTTCCAAAAACACTTGAATACTCACGACAGAGGTCATCAGCCCCGACAGCAGCTTTGACGCATGGGAATCTGAGGTCCATGTCCCTCCACGGCACAGAAAGTACACACATCTGGTGCTTTACAGTATTTTCAAAAGGCTCCTATGTACATATTGTGTCACTTGAGCCTCAGCTAGTCTTCTAAAGTAGGCACGTGGCGCTTTCTTTTACTTCTTTTACAGGTAAAGAAGCAAGCTCAGAGAGGTTAAGTGACTTGCCCAAAAGCCCACAGCAATTGTGCAGTCACACAGGAACAGGGCAGGGCAGGATTCAGCCTCCTCGTATCCCATTCAGCTCCTGTGTCTGCCCTCAAGACCAAGAGTGGAACGGCGCACCCACTCTCTGTGTTTTCCCATCCAGGGTCTCTCTCCCTGAGGAGCCCCCCACAGCCCCTCCACAGAATGTAATTGCCAGCGGCCGGACCAACCAGTCCATTATGATCCAGTGGCAGCCGCCTCCTGAGAACCACCAGAATGGCCTCCTCAAAGGCTACCTCATCAGGTAGGCGCCCAGCCCAGGGGCAGGCGAGCAGCCCAGACCCGAGGGGAAAGGGATGGCGGAGGGTCAGGAGTGGATTGGAGAACAGAATAAACTCACACAGGCTCTTCATCTCACAAGGACCAAGCAACAAGAAATGCCCACATCCTGGTAAGGATTGAGGTTAGACATTTAGAAGAACTTCCAGCAGTGAGAGCCTTGGAAACCAATGGGGATGGATCAGAGACAAGATACAGTATAATCTCCCAAAAGCTGAAGGGATGGGCAAGTCTGATGTCAGGGCTACATAGAAATAGGGCTATGGGGAGACAAGTAACTATCCAGGGGGCCAGCCACCTGAGAAACAGGAATATTCCATCTCAGGCCAGCTCTCCCTCGGGATGGACCATGAGTGGACAGACTACTGGGCTAGGAACTGGTCAAAAAGTGGAATCCTTCCTTAGGCCCCTACTGCAAAGTGAAGCCCAGTTACATAGACCTTTATATTTATGTTTGACGGAGGGAACTTGCCTGGTAACCTAAAAGTGAGTTATTAGTGTTACTAAAATTTGGCATTCATCAATTAAAATTAGCATGTTGCTGGAAGTTACAGAGAACGCCCATCAATATTCTGAACTCTGGCTGGCTGCGAAACGCCAGGCAAGCTTGCAGGTCTGTTTCCTGCGCATGGACCCTCTCACAGTATCAGAACTCCCAAAATTTGCAGGAAGTTTTTTGTTGATTTGGCTGCTCCGCTATCAGTTCATTTTGTTGTGGGTTCTTGCTGGACCCTGAAGTGTGGTCCCTGGACCAGCAGCAGCAGCAGCAGCACTTTGAGAACTTGATAGAAACACAAGTTCTCAAATCCCACCCCTGCCCTCCTGAATGGGAAACTGTGGGGTAGGCCCAGCCATCTGTGTTAACACACCCATCACGTGTCTGATGCACCCTGAGGCCCTGAGAACCATTGCTATGGGGTCTGGTAATGCATTAGAATAATCGGGGTCCTCTGATTTCCCGATGCTGAGACGCTCAGGTGTGGAATGCGTCGTGCTTCTCCCATGAGCTACCCAGCCTCCACAATCTGCCTGTAGAGATCCCACTTCGTTACCACGTGTCCTTTTTATCTCCAGTAGAAGGTAGAAATGGGTCGAGTAGGTAGCCTCGGGTTTTGTTGTTTTTTTCTCTCCACCTAAGTGAGTGATGGGCGAAAGACAGAGCCACTATCCCAGAGGGAGAAAGAAATTGAGCCCAACCTTTGACGATAGCTCTCCCATCAATGACCCCTTAGAGCTGAGACTACTGGGATCTTCCCAGAAACTCTCAGTGTCCCTACTTAGCCATCCCACCAATGCCCTCCTCCCCCATTGAAAAAGAATAGTCCATGGGCCGGCTGAGTGGCTCAGTTGGTTAAGAGTTGGCTTAAGAGCACGAGCTCTGAGCAACAGGGTCGTCGGTTCGATTCCCGCATGGGCCAGTGATGCTGCGTCCGAGCTGAGCTGCCAACAGGTGGCAGAAAGGCTCAGCTGGTGTAACAACAACATTGCTTGTTCGATGGTGGCTACGCCCACCCGCAACTAAGACTGAACCCGGCACCTTGAGCTGAGCTGCCGCCCAGATGGCTCAGTGGATAGAGCGTGCGCTCTTAACCACAAGGCTGCTGGTTTGACTCCTGCATAGAATGGTGGCTACGCCCACCCGCAACTAAAACTGAACACAGCAGCTTGAGCTTAGAGGCCACGAGCTGCCAATGGGAAGCCAGATGGCAACTGATGCCCTCCACGACAAAGACTGAAGAACAACAACTTGGCCGGTCCCCTTCCCCAATTCCCCAACACTGTTCCCTTCCCCCAATTCCCCAGTAAAATCTTTAAAAAAATAAAGAATAGTCCAGACGCATACCCTAGACCAGGGGTCGGCAAACTGCGGCTCGCAAGCCGCATCCAAAGAGCTGCATGTGACTCGCAAGCCGCAGTTTGCCGACCCCTGCCCTAGACCTACGTTACCCAGGGAGGCAGCCACTGGTCACCTGTAGCTATTCACGTTTGTTAAAAATAAAACCACACACTTAGTTCCTCCATTGGACCAACCACATTTCAAGGACGCAAGAGCCCCACGTGCTAGTGGCTACCCTGTTGGACAACACGGACGTGGAGCATTTCCACCGTCACCGTTTCCTGGGCACAAGCCCAGGCAGGCGACCTGCAGGCCACTGCATCCTGGCTTTCTCCCCTCAGGTACTGCCTGGCCGGGCTGCCTGTTGGGTACCAGTTTAAGAACATCACGGATGCTGACGTCAACAATCTGCTGCTGGAGGACCTCATCATCTGGACCAACTACGAGATCGAGGTGGCCGCCTACAACAGCGCTGGGCTGGGTGTCTACAGCAGCAAAGTCACCGAGTGGACGCTGCAGGGAGGTGGGCGTTTCATCCAGTCCTGAGCCGTGCCCAGCTACGCCACAGGGTGGGAGGACTCTGGAGAAAAGGAAGAGGTTGGGGTGAGGGTGATGAAGGCAGAGGCTTCAGGGGTACAGGGACCTTCTGCAAAATGTCACATGAACTGGGCCATGCGACAGCTTACATTTAGCCTTGTACCTAAAAACCACCCCGAGCATTTTCAGATCCATCACTTTCATTGGTCTGTCCCTGTGGATGGGTCACACAAGTTCTAAACCCAAAGTAATCTAGAGGAAGAGGGCGTCTGAGGCCTACGTAGCGAGGGAAGAGTGGACAGGGGCGGGCAGGGGGCAAAGCAGAGTTTGTAGACCCCATCCCTGTGTTTTCTCTACTTAACTGGGCAAGACAGACTGACTGCCCCCTCCAGCCCACCCCCACCCCATCTCTGTTCTCCTCCAGTCCCCACAATCCCTCCGGGCAACGTGCATGCAGAAGCCACCAATTCCACAACCATCCGTTTCACCTGGACCGCCCCCAGCCCTCAATTCATCAATGGTATCAACCAGGGTTACAAGGTACGTGAGGCCTGTCCTCATCCCAAGACAAAGCCGGGAGACTCGCTGAGGGAGGGGGGAAGTGGGGGCCCCCCTTCTGTTTCTGCAATCATGGGTTCAAGCCAAGCACAGGACACTTGATCAAGGCGAAGAGCACACGGGCTCTCCAAGGCCAAGTACAGGCGGTAGGAGCATGGACACTGCCCAGTCTGTGACCCAGTGCAAGGGGCCTTCTTGAGCACAATGCCAAACACATAGCAAGCGCTCAGAAAATGATTGTAGTAACAGAAATGTATTCGTTTGCTCGGGCCGCCATAACAAAGCACCAGACTGAGGGGCTTAAATGACAGAAATGAGTTGCCACACACTTCTGGAGGCCAGAAGTCCAAGATCAAGGTGTCGGCAGGGTTGGTTTCTTTGGAAGCCTCTGTCCTTGGCTTGTCGGTGGCCGTCTTCTCTCTGTGTCTTCACATGGTCTTCCCTCTGTGCATGTCTGTGTCCTGATCTCCTCTTTTCACTAAGACACCAGTCAGATTGAATTAGGGCCCACCCTAACGACCTCATTTTAACTTAATCGCTTCTTTAAAGAACTAACCCCAAATACAGTCACATTCTGGGGGGTCCTGGGCATTAGGACTCGGACATATAAATTCAGGGAGAAGCAATTCAGCCCATCGTGAATAGTAAGAGTGGTGGTGACGTTGGTGGTAGTAAACTTGCTATAATTTTAACTGCACAAAAAGTCAGGACTTCTCAACTGTCCCCTCCTAGAACCCAGCCCTTGGATCTCAACCTGGTCTCTCCTCTCACCCCACAAGCCCCAAGCCGACCTCCCTAAGAACTGGACATAGACAGGTCACATAGTGCATGGTCTATGCCCTGTTTACAGCCGTGCCCCAGCAGCTTGGGGCGGGTCAGAGGAGGCGGTCGGCTCCCTCCAGATATGGGAGGAGAGCCAGAGCATTTGAGCGGCGTGCCACCAGGAAGCCAGACATGAAGGGGAGAGAACTATAGGCTGTGGCTTTGAACCCAGGGATCTGGCGACCTCAAGGTGACCACGGCCACTTTCAGAAGGTTCCCGCATCCTTTCTGTGCTGTGTCTGCTTGTGTGTGACAACCAAGACTATTTCTAGGACTAGCAGTCTTGGGCATTATTACTGTAAGTTGGCAGTGGCCGGGCAGGAAGGGACTGAGATTAAGTCATGAAGAGATGGGCCAGAGCCAGACATCCCAGCCACAGCCCTCTCACTCCCAGTTGGCGGGGCACCAAGGCCAAGCGGGCTGTCCTGGGGCAGGGTGCTGTGGCTGAGCGCTGGCTGGCTGGCTGGCTGGCTGGGAAAGGCTGCTAATTGGGACTCCGGGGGGAGGCACGGGAAGGAAGGGGGAGGCCCGCATCGTGCTAAGCAGCAGAGAAGCTGAGCAAGAAACAATTAGCATCTTGCTACCAGCTCTAAGTTTTCTTCCACATATGAGCAGCTGGGCTGCAAAATTCTAAAGCAAATGACTCCAGAGGGCCAAGAATGCCAACCAAGTGGCCAGGACAATTAGGGCAACGACCCATTATGACCCAGACAAGAATAGGCTGCAGAAACCCACCGACTTCCAGGCCTGGTTGGTGCCCAGCACCCGGTAGCTACTTGATGAAAGTCAGTGGGATTGAATTGCCCAGATATTTCAAGCACAAGAGCTGGCAGAAAGGTAAGAAGAACTCATACTCGCTGGGCATTTTCAACGTGCCAAGCGGAATGCTAGGGCTACGCTCACACTCTTCTTCCACACAAGCTGGGCAGGAGCCCTGAGAAGGAGTATTATCATCACCCCATTTTACAGAAGAAGAAACTGAGGCACGAGAGGCAAGGAACTTGGTCAAAGTCAAGTACCTGCAAAGCTCAGATGCAAACTCTAGAGACTGCACGTCTTCTTGCATTCAAAAAAAATGTGTCCTATGAGTTCATTGTAAAATAATGAAGTATACCCTGATTTTTTTCTCAGTACAAATTTATATCAATAGGGATTCTTTTTCTTGCTTTTTTGGCCTTCACTATCACATGGAGAAAAAAAGCATTTGTCCCTTGCATACCTCCAACGAGAATGGACTTTCTTTTCCCCTTTTAATTGTGAAAAATTCCAAATCCTTGCAAAATTAGAGAGAGGCCTGTAATGAACACCCATATCCACATCCCTGGCTTCAACAGTTACCAGCTCACAGCCAAATGGGTTCCATCTATTCTCTTACCCGCCGCCTCTCCCCTGGAATATTTTGAAACAACGCCCAGGATTGTAGCATTTCATCCATAAATATTTCTGTAAAGAAATATTATAAAATCCCTATTTAAGACATTATCCTTATCGCGCCTAAAAATATCAACCGTCCCTTTAATATCGTCAGATATTTAGTTGGCATTTAAATTTCCCTGGTTGCCGCATCCTTTCTTAGTTGGTCTATTTGCTTCAGGGTCAAAACGAGGCTCATACCGCTGCGATTGGTTGGGGTTTTTTTTTTGTTATTTTTTTAAGTCTCAGTTGAATCTATAGATTCTCTCTCTCTTCTCTTTCTATCGTTCTTTTTCTGGTAATTGCCTGAGTAAAGAATCTTAGTCATTTGTACTGTAGGGTTTTCCACAGTCTGGATTTTGCTGATTACATCCCTGTGGGGTCATTTCACGCATGCCTCTGAAAACTGTATTTGCAGTAAATTGGAACTTAGGACTGAGGCCTGATCAGATTCAGATCTGATGATTTTTTTTTCAAAATATTACTCCCTAGATGGCATTGTGTATTTTCATCAGAAGGACTAAAGTGTAGCTGCCTCTTATTGTGATGAGATGACCATTGACCATCCTTGTATGATCTATTATTTCAATAGGGACTGCAAAATTGGGACAGTCTAATGTTATAATTTTGTCTTGATTTATTACCTGAAATACTTTTTTTTTTTTTTTTTTAAGAATTTTCTCCTTACCAACTTTTTGGTTTCCCAAAGATACAGGTCTTCTAGGAAAAGCATCGTGAATGCTCAGTTGTTTTCCATTACTTGCCAATTTTCAGAATAATGAATTGGTTCCTGAGTGCCTTCTAAAGTGACAGATGAGTTTCGATTGGGGTGTGGGAGGCATCTTTTTTGTTTTGTTTTTAGTAGTAGTATATACTTTAGTATTATTTTTTTAACTTTATTGGGGAACAGTGTGTTTTTCCCAAGACCCATCAGCTCTGAGGCAAGCTGTTGTCCTTCAATCTTAGTCGTGGAGGGCGCAGCTCAGCTCCAAGTCCAGTTGCCGTTTTCAGTCTAGTTGCCAGGAGCACAGCCCACCATCCCATGAGGGAGTCGAACCGGCAACCTTGTTGTTAAGAGCAGCGTTCTAACCAGCTGAGCCACCCGGCCGCCCTAGGATTTTTTTAAACACATCTGGTATGTTTCAGTTCACTGTCATTATTATACTTACTGATGCCAAGTTGGCACATCCTTGGCCTCTTCACGTTGACTCACGCATCCTTTTGACATGGGCCTAACAGTCTGTGATAGCTTCTCTGCTATCCAGTATGACGAGTCAGTCCAAGCTATCCACAGTTCCTGCACCGTGCCTGAGATCAGCCGTGTTTTCAAGGAGTCTTTGTTCCTTTCGTAGGAAATGATACTTAGAGCTAGGCTCTGGTAATGGACAACTAGGAAATACTTTTTTTTTTTTTGTAAGATAAAACACATACTGGTACTTTCCAATTCGATTTCAAGACTACAGACTTTTTAATAATCTCAATGGTCTTTTGTCTGTATATCTTTTCTCCAGACTGAAAATCCAGTTCCCACAACACCAACATAATTACCCACCTATCCCACAAACACCCACAGTTGCAGAATACTAATATCAACACTTAGGTTACTGAAAATATAATAGTTTCAGGTCATTTGCAGTTCTTTTTGTTCTTAGGGTATATCCCAGCCAGGATGTACTTCCCATCACTGGGCTGCAAAGTCTTTTAAAATAGTTTCTCACTGTATAATTTTGCTGCAACTCAATTCATGGTTAGGTTCATTACTTTCATTTTGGTTTCGATTTCTAGGGATTGATTTTTGTAATTTAATTTCATTCTTTAATTATGTAGCATATTTACATGGCTCCAAAGTTAAATCTACGAAGCAAAGTAAATTCAGAGAAAATCAGCCAAACTCTGGTCCTCTCTCTCCTCCATAGGTTTGTTTTTTTGTTGTTGTTTTGGTTTATCTTTACATTCCTTCAACATAAGCAAGTACATGCACTGTATGATCAAAAAATACGGTGAATGTTTACATTTTAAAATTTCATTACAGTAAAAGACACATTGCCATTAATCCCCCTCGCTTCTAACACACTTATCCCATCATTCTTGCCACTTTCTGAAGCAGTTCTGGAAGTCCTTTTTCATGAATGTCTTTAGTTGCACTTGTCATGGCTGCGTTGATGTTCTGAACCAATTCAAACTGTTTACCTTTCGTGGTCATTTTGACTTTGGGGAAGAGCCAGAAGTTGCACGGTGTGAGATACAGTGAATATGGTGGGTGAGGGCACACCGTAATGTTTTTATTTGACAGAAACTGCTGTACCAGAAGCAATGTGCGACGTGGAGCCTTTCGGTTTTGATAAAAAAATACAGTGAATGCGGCTGCCAAGTGCCATCCAATGGAAAGGCAGGGATCTCCAATACGGGAAGCGGCACGTGGAACCTTAGTAACAGTGTGTGACAAGTTTCAACTTGTTCGGTGCAGTCAGTCAGGTGTGAGCTATGGTTGAGAGCAGGTGTGTTTTAAAGTGTGCCATAAATCATCCCCCATCATGACAATGGTCCGTGTCACACATCATTTCTGGTATAAGGCAATTATGTAAAATAAAAACATTACGGTGTGTCCTCATCCACCTTATTTACCAGATCTGGCACCATGCGACTTCTGCCTCTTCCCCAAAGTCAAATAATTCAGGACATCGAGGCAGCCATGACAGCGCCACTAAAGACACTCACGAAAGAGGACTTCCAGAACTGCTTCAGAAAGCGGCAAGAGCGATGGGATAAGTGTGGTCGAAGCAAGGGGGAGTATTTTGAGGGGAATTAATGTCAATGTGTCTTTTACCATAATAATTTTATTTTTATTTAAACATTCACCATCTTGTTTGATCACACCAAATACATTTATAAAGGTATATCCTTCCCTTCTTGGATAAATGACAGAGTACTCTACACACTTTCTCCATCTTGCTTTTGTATTTTTGTTATATCCTGGAAATCATTCCACAAGAACGAACAAAAATATCCTTTTTTTACATCTGTATCATACTCCATTATGTGAATCTCCCATAGTTTAGTCCACCTGCTCCCTAGTGAAGACATTTTTGTTGTCTTCAATCTTTTACTATAACAAACATTTCTGCAGTGAATAGCTTTGTGCATACATCTTTTCATATTTTCACATATAACTTTGGAATAGATTCTTAGAAATAAGATTTCTGGGTCAAAGAATGAATGTGTATATAATTTTAACTCCAGTAGCTAGCAGGCCATATATACCATCCCAGCCCCGGAATGTACTGCTTCTACCAGGTAGCTATGACTGGCCTCTATAATAGCCTGAGGCTCAGAGACGTTGAGTGACTTTCTCAGGGTCACACAGTAAGTGACAGAGCTAGGCTCTCTCCTTCTTTCTCTCCACTTTGGCTGTACATTCTGCCCTCCCTACACACACACACACACACACACCACCACCACCACCACCACCACCTGCGGCACCACCCTTCAGTTATAGGGTTGCCCCCCTATAACTCTGCTCTCTCAGAGGGAGTTGCCTGTCCCAGAATCTAGGCCTGATGCTCCTCGCCCAGCACACAGCCACCCACACACCCAAATCAACACTGACCCCAAGTAACAAGGACAGGCACAAAGATGGCCAAGAGAACCCCTGACACCCAGCTGGCACCTGTGTGCACCTCAGGAGGCAGTGGTCTTCATCAGAGGCCTTAGGGCCACAAATCTGAAGCCAGTGGTGGGCCCTCATGCAGGTTACTCAACCATCCCGAACCTCAGTTCCTTTTTTGGGACAGCACAGGACAGTGGTCCCCATGTAGTCCTCACTGTGATGAGAGAATGAGACCGGTCAGTGATGGGCTTAACCCAGTGCCAGGCACACAGTAGGACCTCATCAGATGGGAGCCCTGTTGAGTACTTGCTGGAGCCCTGAGTTTCCATCCCGTAGATGCCCAGAGTCCAGTTCCTGTCAGGCACTAGGAGGCGCACGACACAATCCTCTTGTCTTCCTGACCCCAGGGAGAGGCCTCTTAACCCTCAGCCTCCTCCTCTTCAGATGCAGCCAGAGCAGGACAAGTGGCTGAAATCCCGGACTGAATATTTTGACGCAACCACAGTCCTGCCGCCATCTTGGGCTCCAGGCCTGGAAGCCAGTAGTACACTGTGCACTTCTTCTGGGCCATTTCTAATGCAAGTCCCCATGATATCGTCCTAAGGCACCTGTCAAGATACTCTTTGTCCTCTATATTTTTTAAGTGGTAGTAAGTGTAATTGACCTACACCCAATAAAATAATATTTATCCAGATTTTTGCACTTGCTGGGGAACACACCACACAATTAATTCTAATGGCGTAATTAATTCAAATTTGCATTAATTAAATTAAATTAAAACATTAAACTTGTTTCTTCATCTACTCCGAAGAAGTTCAGCACTTTAATTGCTATGAAACAAGATAACTGAAAATAAGGAGGATATTTAACATACTTATTAAATGCCACTTAGTAATTCTGATTAGTATTTTTAGGGTCTAATTAGTGTCTAATTAACTTGCTATAGGCTATCTTTTCACAATACCAATTAAATTTCAAAACACCCTTCATAAGCACGTGGCCATGAAAGGAGACAATTAAGCATTGTTATAGGTATGAGTTAATCAGGAGATATCACATGGTATTGTTTTATATCTATAAATATCCATGCTCACTAAAACTCATCGAGTGTTGCTTTTCACCATTAATTGCTATTTAATGAATTTCAAATAAATGAGGAAATCTCTGAGACCAGCTGTCATTGTTGGTGACAGATGAAGGACCCAGAAAACGGGAGCGTGAGGTGAGGGGTTGAGAGGCGAGACGAGGAGAAAGGGCAGGCAGGAAGCTTACGCAGCTATGGGTGGTGCGTGTCGAGGGGAGATTAGACAAAAAGCAACGCTGAATTTTCAGACGGAGCTTTCCTGCTGACGTTCCACCTCTAGGTGATGTTTAAGATTGAAATCCCCACCTTGGAACCAGTTTAAAAGAGTAAGAGTTATCCACCCACCAGAGTTCCAGCTCTGTGGGAGAACTCCAAGGGAGAAGCCGCCCCGGCCCAGATGGAGAAGAACATAGGAGGCCAGGTGTTAGCACCAGAGACCCTCAGCTTCCTACTAGCTGTGTGATGTAGAGTAAGTCACTTAGCCTCTCTGAGCCTCAGTTTCCTTATCTGTGAAAAACAGGGCTGACTTCAGGGTGCCCAACCTGTGCTCAGGGCGCCACACTCAAAAGGACCTCATGCTCGATTTAAACTCTCGGCTGCTGTCATCTTGAAATTCTTAATCATTTTTGCACAAGGAGGCCCTCCATTTTCATTTTGCACCAGACCGCGCAAATTATGTAGCCGATGTTGGTAAAGTACCTCCCTTGTGGGGTCGCTGTGGGGACCCAGTGAGAGATGAGTCATGGAAAGCACCCAGCATGGTGCCTTGCAGCCACTCAGTGGACAGAGCAGCACACCAAAGTGAACCCCGTCCAAGACAGATGTTCCAGTCCCCAGGAGAGGGGACATCAGGGACCTGAGCTCCTGGACACTCTCTGTCCAGTGGCCCAGCCTGCAGGAGAGCATATGGCCTCTTTTGGAACATTCTTCCTGCCCTACCTGAATTGCTGGCCTCTCCCCAGCTCATCGCCTGGGAGCCGGAGCAGGAAGAGGAGGTTACCATGGTAACTGCCCGGCCCAACTTTCAAGACAGCATCCACGTGGGCTTCGTGTCTGGCCTGAAGAAGTTCACTGAGTACTTCACCTCTGTGCTATGCTTCACCACTCCCGGAGACGGGCCTCGCAGCAGCCCCCAGCTGGTGCACACCCATGAGGATGGTAGGCACCACCCAGCCCTGTAGTCTCTGCACCCACCCGGGGGCCAGGCTGGGCTCTCCAGGCACAGGGCAGTCCTGGTCTAGTCTCTCATCCTGGGGTGCCCCTGAGACACGGGGGCTATCTTGCGAACAATGGTCTCTCCCTGGGTCTAACTGACATTGGGTGGGGTGGGGGGTTCCTTTTGGGGTACAGTGCCTGGGCCTGTAGGACACCTGAGCTTCAGTGAGATCCTGGACACCTCGCTGAAGGTCAGCTGGCAGGAGCCGGGGGAGAAGAACGGCATCCTCACAGGTAGGCACTGCGGCGTCGCGGAGCCGGGGCGAGGAGGCGGCCGTCGAGTCCGTCCCCCTGCCTTCAACCTGGCGTCCATCCAAAGCCTCCCAGCAGCCAATCTTTCTTAGAAAATGCTCAGAGAAGGCTCTGGGCCCCTCCACTCCGTCACACATCCCAGGTCTTCGGCCACAGGCTTCACGTAGCCGCCCTGATAACTTGCTCTCTCTCCTGCAACCCCACCCAATGAATGGAGGCATCCTACCAAGGGTACACTGGGGCCCAGGCAGGATACTTCCACCTCCCATGGCCCAGAGCTCCCAATGTGCATCTAACTGCCAGACTAGTAAAGAAGTGAGAAGCAGAGCAGAAGGGCCAAGGCCAACTTACGGCCACAGCCAAGCTCACGCCACACCTGGGGTCTCCCCAGGGTACCGGATCTCCTGGGAGGAGTATAACCGAACCAACACACGCGTGACACACTACCTGCCCAACGTGACCCTGGAGTACCGCGTCACGGGCCTCACTGCGCTCACCACTTACACCATCGAGGTGGCCGCCATGACCGCCAAGGGCCAGGGCCAGGTCTCCGCCTCTACCATCTCCTCCGGGGTGCCTCCAGGTAGGTGCCCACTCGGGGGGACTCCTGGCCTCTCCTCCTGATCAGCATCCAACTCAGGAGATGCCTTCTCTTTCAGAAATGTTGGCTTTCTTCCCACACAGCTGTCCGCCGCCTCAGGTTCATGGCTCCTTGAGCCCTCCCCAGAGCAGGCTACTTGACTGTCTGGGCTCACTGCTTTGTCCTCCCATGGCTCTCAGAACAGCACAGGTCCCTAGAGGACCCCACCCTTGTCTCATTCACACACTGCCCCTCCCTCCACTTCCTCGTCCACACCAAATTCCACACCAGGCAGTGGTGCCAGTGATGGAGGGGAAGAAGTCTCACTGTCACCCAAAAGTCCAAATAGGATTCCAACCAGTGGAAGTGTTGGTTTGGGGGGAGGGGAGGGTGGTCAGAGCAGCATGGGAATAACCTTAGAGCAAGCTGAGATCTGCCCTCAACTCTTAACTTCTGCCAACCTCTGCAACCTTAAGCAAGCCGTGTCCCCTCTGTGCCTCAGTGTCCCCATCTGTATCCATGGGGCAATCGATTAGATAACCACGTGATCCTGTCTGGATCAGTGAGGCGATGCTTGTGGGACCTGGTGAGAATCCTCGACCTGCCCACGGAGATGGCTGAGATTCCCAAACTCCAGTCGACCCCAAGTGATAATAACTGTAACACTAACCAATGTTTCTGCGCTGCTGCCAAGCTTGGAGCTCAGTGCTTTATATATGTCAAGTCGTGTAATCCCCGAGGTAGGTGGTATTACCATCTCCATTTACCGAGGAGGACCCTGTGGCACAGAAAGATTAGGCAGCTTGCCCAAAGACACACAGCTCGGAAGCAGTGGAGTTGTATTCCAACCCAGATGGTCCGACTCCGGAATCTGTACTTTTCTGCTCACCCTGAACCCCAAGGTTCTTGGTCGGAAAACAGGGCCTGCCTCCTGCCCCCACCCCTCCTTCTCATCTCCCTGAGCCTTTGTGGGGCTTGGGAGGGGTGTAATGGGGTTTGTGTAGACAGACAGGAGGAGCGATGGCTTTGGTTGGTTCCTTTCTGAGCCCAGCTTGTTTTGTGTGGCCTCCAGCGCCCTTGGGAGCATCTCACGCACATCCAGACCCCAGGAGAGGAAGCCCTTGTGTGCCCAGCCCCTGCCTCCTGGCCCTGGGAACCTCCCCTTGGCCCGGGGAGGACCTCTCCACGCCTAAGCCTGTCTCAGGCCCCTGATACGAATGCTGTGAGCTGTGGGGGCAGAGACCAGAGCTGTGTTGGTGGGGTGAGGCCAGGTTTCTGGGAAAAGTGCGACACGGCACCCTCTGTGCCCAGAGAGCCTTGTTCCGTGTAGGACGTCCTGCTCAGGCCGTCTCCTTTCCCGTCCTGCCTTCCGTTTCCAGAACTCCCAGGGGCCCCCACCAACCTGGGCATTTCCAACATTGGCCCCCGCTCCGTGACCTTGCAGTTCAGGCCAGGCTACGACGGGAAAACCTCCATCTCCCGCTGGCTGGTGGAGGCCCAGGTAAGGCCTGTCGGAGGGGATCCCTGGAGCCCGGGAAGCTGCCTCCGGCTTTGCACGTGCCCGTGCTCTTGGGTGCAAAGTCGTGTGTATTTACAGCTGTGTGAATTTTCACATGCAACTGTCAGATGGCCAAACACACCAAAATGCCTGTGTTTCCAATACAGTCTCCAGCCCTATCTCAACACCTGTGCGCACACACACACACACACACACTCTCACACACACACTCACTCACACACAACCCCCTTGGGTCAGGGTGGTGACTGGCCAGCCTAGAAAAATAACTAGCCCATCCCCCGACTCCTCTCCCGTTAGCCTGTTCTGTATATTTATGGGTCTGTTCCTATTTTGTTTATTCGTTTGTTTTGCTTTTTGGATTCCACATATAAGTGAAAGCATTTGATATTTGTCTTTCTCTGTCTGGCTTATTTCACTTAACTTAATAGCCTGTAGCTCCATCCATGTTGTCACAAATAACAAGATTTCATTCTTTTTGATGACCGAGTAATATTCCATTATATATATATACACACACCACCTTTTCTTTATCCACTCGTCTATTGATGGCAATCTAAGTTGATTATGTATCTCGGCTATGACTAGTGGTGCTACAGTAAACATAGGGGTGCATATGCCTTTTCAAATTAGTGTTTTGGATTCCTTTGGATAAATACCCAGGAGTGGAATTGCTGAGTCATAAGGTAGTTCTATTTTTAGTTTTTTTGAGGAACCTCCATACTGTTTTCCGTAGTGGCTGCACCAATCTGCAATCCCACCAACAGTGCACAAGGGTTCCCTTTTCTCCACATCCTCGCCACCAGCACTTGTTGTTTGTTGATTTATCAATGAGAGGCCTACAGCCCTTTAAACCCGTGATTCTCAGCCTCAGCTGCACCAGGGGGGCCTTCAGAAGTTCTAGTGCCTGGTCCCACCCCCCAGAAATCCTATCTCTGATTTAGCTGGGGTTTTAAAAGCATACCCAGGTATCCAGGAGGACCAGCTGGGAGTTCATTGGCACCAGCCTCAGGTGATCCACCAAGTCTGGGGCGGGGCACAGGAGTGAGTTTATAATATTGGGTTGTCGGGAAATTCATGACGCATTTTTGCAACGAAAACCATAGAAAAAAACACGTCATGACTTTTCCGACAACCTAATAGATTCTGATGCAGGAGGGCTGGGGGCCACACATGAAGTCACGGTTAAGGGCCTGGAAAGGTAGTGGCCCCATCTGGTGCCCGCCTGGTGAGCCCTGGGGTTTGAATGCAGGCCTTTCCTGGGCAGGGCTTGTGCATCTGAGAAGCTGGGGCTCAGAGCACCCCACCGCAGGCACCGTGGCAGGAAGGGCGGGTCTAAGGGTGTCTCCCTTCTCCAGGTGGGCGTCGTCGGGGAGGGAGAAGAGTGGCTGCTGATTCACCAGCTCACCAACGAGCCCGACGCCCGCTCCATGGAGGTGCCTGACCTCAACCCCTTCACCTACTACAGGTAATGGGACAGGAAGGGGAGGCGCTGCCCGAACCGGGGCGGGCTCCGGGCCTGAGGCCTACCCTCGCCTTACGTCTCACTCACCCCCACCCCCAGCTTCCGCATGCGCCAGGTGAACATCGTGGGCACTAGCCCACCCAGCCAGCCTTCTAGAAAGATCCAGACCCTCCAGGCGCCCCCTGACATGGCCCCGGCCAACGTAACCCTGCGCATGGCCAGCGAGACCAGCCTGTGGCTCCGCTGGATGGTGAGGCTGCAAGAGGGCAGTGGGGTGGGGTGGCTCCTGGGTCCTCGTCACCTGCAAAGGTGTCGTTGCCTCCAAGGGGCCACATCAACGGGGCGTCCACCGGAATCCCTGCAGCTCTCTCCTCTCTTTTTCGCAACTTGCACCTGGAAAGGTGCCTGATAATCAGTCGTAGCCAAATGAACAAATACCCCACGTGAGGAGGAGCTAGAAAAAAATGTTTATTGAGCATTACCCTGTGCCAAGCATTTTCCATTTTTTTTCTGCCATTTACTTTTCCCAGTAATCCTGCAAAGGACACATTATTATCGCAATTTACAGCTTAAAAAAAAAATCGAAGGCTCAGAGAGGTTAGGAATTCACCCACAGCCACACAGCTCCCAGGAGTGGGTCTGGGATTCAGATGTAAGTTGTTTTACGACACCACATCAGAGAGTGTGGGATTGCTTCTGAGGTTGAGGGGAAACTGACAGAGGGGCCGTTAGGCTCTCAGACGGCCCCGACAGATCGGGGTTGTCACCGCCCCAGGTGACCCTAATGAGAAAATAATACTAGCGTGCTGAAGGCATCTCTCCTGCCTTCAGGTACTGTTCTGGGTGCTTTATTCAAAGTCAGATCTTGAACCCTCTCCACAAGCCTGCGACAGTGGAGTGACCCTGGCCCCCTCTTTACTGAGGAAACTGGGGCAGAGAGAAATGGAATAACTGGCCCAAGTCCCCCCACATCCTCCCACACCCCGTAGTTAACAAAAGGGCTCAGCTACCCAACCCGGGGAGTCTGGCCCCCACAAGTTACAGCCCTAACCACTGGGCCCTCTGCCGTCCTGTGTTCTGGGAAACAGGGGAGACTATTTCTCCCCTGGGACAGCATTTCCTGGCATGGGTCCCACAAAGCAGCAATCCAAGAGGTGCTCGGAGCAAATGGGAATTCTTAGACAAATGTGGGAACCACGCCCCATAACCCACTCATTAGAGAATCCGGGAAATCTTCCCAGCTTTGGAAAGAGCCTGCCTGACTCTGCTTTTCCAGGCCCATCTGGCCACACAACTCTTTTTTTGTTTCCACGTCAGATCTCTCACTAGTTGCAAAACACAAATTGCAAAATGCCACATTGTGGGTGGGGTTTGCAGAAAGCCATGACTGCCTTTCATTTATGTAGACAGCCGGTATAAAGATGCTAGTGGCACTATCGGCCCTGGACAAACGTTAGCTGTTCATTGTGACTCCCCTCCCAGGGTGGCCGGCATGAGCGGAGCTGTGTTTCAGGCCAGCCCCAGGCTCCCAGCCTTGTTACTGTGTCACTGCTGGCTTCTCCGCCCCTTGTCTCCCAGGCTCGGCTCCTCTCCCGCTAACCTCCTGCCTCTCACTTTAAAGTTACCAAATACTAAAAGGCTAAGGAGTCTGATACTGGGGTTGGGGTGGGGGGCTGGAGGGGGAGTAAAAGGCACTTGCTGCACCATGCAGGGCCCTGGGCATCTCCAGCCCTGCGTAGTGGCGCACGGCCCATTACCTTTCCTTAGCAGGTAAGGGAGCGTGCACTCAAGCAAGGCCCATCTCAAGTTTTCAGGCCCATCGATTGCTGTATAATGGTCTCTGGTCTGCTTCACTAAGTGTCTGTAGGAGCGAGGCTGGCAAGGAGGGAGGCAGAGGCCGAGGAAAGGAAGGAAATGGGTTAGATTGTCGGGGGGCCCTGTGGACCATGGGCTCTTTGGAGCCTGAGGGGAAGCAGAATAGGGGTGGGGGCTGAGGGCTACCCAGCTCCAGCTCTGCCACCTTCAGAGGAGAACCTGAAGGCCGGGCCTGTGGCTCACACCTGCTCCAGATCACAGGCTCCCCTCAGCACGCATACACCTCCACTGCTCGACATGGCCCAAGTTTATCCAAACGACCTTGAGCCAGAGACCACAGCCCCATCAGCCTAGTCATCAGACCCAGGAAAGGAGTGCATCTTTTCCGCTTTGCTGAGACTCAAACAAGAAGAAAGAGACTAAAAATGCAGCAGGCGTGACTGAGGTTTGCTGGACAGAAGGACTTCCTGCCAGTGACTTGTGCCCCATCCGTGTGCTGGGTGCCGTCTCCCCATGCTGGCTTCTCCAAGGCAGGCATGAGCTGACACCAGGCATGTTGTAGGCAATTAAATAAGTACGTGTTGGAGCCTGCGTGAGGGAGTTAAGTGGTGGAGACAACCAGGGCCAAAGGTGCTGTGCTCATCGGTGTATAGGACAGACAGCCTTTGTGGGTCTCTCCCCGGGGCTGACTCCTTTGGCAGGGTGGTAAGTTTGTCACATGCACAATAAAGAATGGAAGCCGCCTCTCCTCGGGGCCTGGCATGGAGAGAGAGGGAGATGGGGAGCCGTCAGAAAAACAGCGTTTCACAGTCTAAGCCACTTTCAGGTTAGAGCGCCAGGCGGGATGGTCGGCTGGGTAACCCTGAAAGCTCCCTGGAGGAGGGGGCGCAAGTCAGGCAGCTCTTTCTGCAGCCTGGCCTCACAGCAGTTCTGCCCACCCTGCCCTCCCGCAGCCTCTCCCGGAGATGGAATACAACGGGAGCCCCGAGTCGGTGGGCTACAAGATTAAATACAGCCGGGCAGACGGACATGGCAAGACGCTGAGCCACGTGGTCCAGGACCGCGTGGAACGGGAGTACACCATCGAGGACCTGGAGGAGTGGACGGAGTACCGCGTCCAGGTCCAGGCCTTCAACGCCATCGGGAGCGGGCCCTGGAGCCAGACAGTGATGGGCAGGACTCGGGAGTCAGGTACTCTGTCCCCTCCTGCCAGTCACACCCCCCCCACCCTGTGGCTTCCCATGGCCTGTGGCTGGGGACACCCCTGCCCTTGTCCCTCTGTCCTCGGTGCCTTCCAAGGGTACCAAAGCTGGAGCTGTTGTTCAAATATAGCCTGGGGTCATTGTCGCATTTGTGAGCTCATCCCCGCAGAGCACCCTGCCATGGCGACTCCCAGCACCTGGGCCTTCCCGCAGCTGTTCCCGCTGCTCCCACCGTCCCCACCTCGAAGCCTCACCTTTAACCCTGACACCCAGTGGTGCCTGAAAAGGGCCTTAGATGTGGGAGTTGGGTTAGCTCTCAGAACATTCCAGAAACAACCAGCAGCTCATAGGGGCCTGGCAAGGGGTCCCCCACAGAATATGAGACCCTGGCCTACGGGCAACCCTCATTTGTCCGCATGTAGTTCGCTGCTTTGTGGCTTTCGCCTGGCACCTTTTAAATGACAGGTCCCTCCACACCCTGGTCCCGGCCCCATCCCTCACTGCTAGGCTGGCAGGAAATGTGGACTCATCCCAACGTTCGCCTGAGCAGAGGATGAGGAGGGGGCTGTTCTGAGAAGGCACTGCATCTGTGACCTTCTAGAACTAAAGGGACTCGGGGCAGGGAAAGTCTCCTTCAGGACTGTCTGTGCCACGCTCCCTTCCCCGGGTCCCACCCTACGCCTGTCCCCTGTAGGGTCCATGTTGGGTCCTGAACACGCTCTCTCCGTTCCTTCTCTCCCTCAGTCCCGTCCTCTGGCCCCACCAACGTGTCTGCCCTGGCCACCACCTCCAGCAGCATGCTGGTACGCTGGAACGCGGTCCCCGAGGCCGACCGCAATGGGCTCGTGCTGGGTTACAAGGTGCGTCCCGGATCCGAGGGCAGGAGGAGACTGAGGCTGTACCCCGCCTTCCCCGTCCAAGGTGCCCGGTCCTCGTGACCCCCTGGGGCCCAGGTCTCTGCCCTCTAGAATGGACACACGGGATGTCTGGCTTCCCGTCCACTGGTCCCCATGGCAACCGGGAGTCCTGCCTAAGGGCTTCCAGTGAGGGCCCAGGGCCCGTGGGGCTGCTCCCCCTCCGCCAGGAGGCCACGCTGGGTGCCCCAAGCCTCACTCTTGGCTCTGATGGGCCCAGCTGCAGTTTCCGTTATCTTTTAGAATTCCTCCCCCACACCGAGCCTAGTCGCATAGTCCAGCCCTGGCCTGGAAGTTGGGAGATGTGACTTGGGGTCCTGATTCTGCCACTAGGGGCTGTGTGACCTTGAGCAAGTTACACTTCCTTTCTGGGCGTTTTGTCCCACCTGGATGCTCTCTAGGGAACCTTCCCACTCCATGTCTGAGCGGGTCGCTGTGTGCACCGCCTTTCCGGAACACTAGCTTGGCTGTTCCCCATGCCCCCTGGGGGTCCCAACTCTGCCCACTCCGTCGTGTCCTCCGCCCCCCGCTTCTGGGGAGGAGACGTAGGGGAAGTGCAGGCAGGGCATACCCAGGCCGAGGCCCTCACCCTGCACTGGGCCCTGGCAGGTGATGTACAAGGAGAAGGACTCGGACTCGCAGCCCCGAGTCTGGCTGGTGGAAGGGAACTCGTCACGCAGCGTCCAGCTGACAGGCTTGGGCAAATACGTGCTCTATGAGATCCAGGTGCTGGCCTTCACGCGCATCGGCGACGGCAGCCCCAGCCACCCTCCCATCCTGGAGCGGACACTGGATGACGGTGAGTTCGAATCCCGGTGAGACTGGGAGCCGCCCTGCCTCCCGCCTGCCCAGCCTTGCCAGGCTCTGCCCCAAAGGGAACCATGGCCTCAGGCTTCTCCTGTGAGAAGCTAGTCACTGCGGGCCACCAGCCCCACTGCAAGGGGATGCTAATTAGAGACCGTGCATCCCTAAGGAAGAATGCAACACGAGGGCAGTCTGACATCCGATTCTTGCTCTCTCTGTGGGACAAGTGTTCGAATAGAGACTTTGTACCCATTTTGATCTCACTTTGAGTCAAGGTCTGTGCAAGTAAAAAGGCTTCATTTCTTTCCTGGCCACGAGCCTCCTGGTCCTGTTTGCAAAAGAGTTTTAACGCCCGTGGGCCTCCAGCCATTCAACCCTGCAGCAAGGGCTGACTGACAGGTCCTCTGCCCCCTCCATCCTCCCCACACACGTATTCACAGACTGTCCCCTACAAACCTTTGTGGGGTCCAGACAACAATGCAAAAGGAAGCCCAAACACCATATGTCTAAATATCCAAGTTATAAATCAAGCTAATGAGCTGTTAAGTATGTTCTATCCTCCTGCCTTGACAAATATATCCTCATATGACCTGGAAAGCCAAGTTCAAGTTTAGAAATCTCGGATTTCTTGGCATTCTGTGTTGGAATGAGGCAGCCCAGGAAGAGTTGCACCCCCAGCACATTCTCCCCCTCTGCCCTGTTCTCTTCCTGTCTCCTCTAGCCCATGTCATTCAGTCTCCATCCACATGCCAGAAACAGCTACCCTTGGGCCATCCCTCAGGCCAGAGGTGCAAGTCTGGAGGTGTGGACCTGGGGAACAGGCCCGGGCCGACCCTGGAAGCATGCTTGGGGCTGTGTGGGCAGGGAATTCCGGCACCTCGGGATTCCAGGAAGTGGACTGGCGTGGGCCCAGGGTGGGCATGCCCTGGTGCCCCTCAGCCGCCTCACCCCACGGTGGGCAGAAGTCAGAATGGCACCTTCTAAAGCACAGACCGAGGACACGGCCCCCTTGCCTACTTCTGAAGGCATGAGCGTATGTGTGCGCACGTACACAGACGCTGAGCTAAAGGAGGTCCTGCCAAATGATGCCTAATTCGAAAGTAGAAACCTCACTGAGCATCTTCGTGTTAGGACACGGTGCCGGGCACAGAGCAGCACTCCATGGCAGTTTGTGGAGTTGAGTGTTGCCCGCTGCCCCCGCCCCCCCACCCCCATGCTGCTCTGCTGGGGCTGAACGGGGCTCAGGGCTGAACAGCAGCTGCACTGTCACTCGTTTCTCCTTTGTCCCCTCCAGTCCCGGGACCACCCATGGGCATCCTGTTCCCAGAAGTGAGGACCACGTCGGTGAGGCTGATCTGGCAGCCCCCTGCTGCCCCCAACGGCATCATTCTGGGTAAGCCCTGGCCACAGGAAGGGGCAGGCGGCGGAAGGCGGAAAGGAGGCTAATTCAGGGTTGGCAGGAGGGACACTAGACCCAAGAAGTGTCCCCATCTCCTCAAGAATGGTTCTGAGTCTAGTTCCTTCCGGAAATCTCAGTCTGTAAGATTATCCGCTGGAGGGCACGGTCCATGCTCCACTCCCTTAAGGACCACTGGTTAGCTTTGTGCCCCCCAAGTGCCCCAGGGCCCCAGCCGAGTGGCCATCTGGTCAACTCCAGCTGCTGTTCCTCAGTGTGACCAGGTGAGGGCGCACAGGCTGGCTCAGCAAAGCCATGCTCACAGGTGGGAAACAGGAGCCCTGGCGCCAGGAGGGATGGTGCCCATCAGAAGCATTGATTCACATTCAAGGTCCCTCCCCTAATACCCGCACATGCACACACACACACACACACACACACACACACACACACACACACACACACAGGAGAAGACACGGGGCTGGAGTCAGCAGCTCTGCGAACTTGAGCAGGTCAGTTCCCTCCACAGCCTCACAGCCTGAGCCCCCTCACCTGTAAAAGGATGTGTTGGACCCCCTGTGCCCAGCCCAGGCGCTCAGGCCTGTCCTGCGACACCTGCCCCAGATGAACGCTGGGCCCTCGATGGCAGACTGGAGACGGGGAAGGTCAAGGGCTTCGGACTTAGACCTGGGCTGGAATTCCAGCTCAGCCACTTCCGAGCAGGTGGTCTGGCCTCTCCAAGCTTCACTTTCCTCACCTGGGTCTGTGAAGGGCGTCACAGACACTGGGTAGAACGTGCCTGTCCATGCCCCCAGTCACACACCCCCCAAGTGGCAGCTGATGCAAGAGTGACCAAGAAAGCTCCAAGTAGTCGGACCACAGACATTGTGGTGGCCGAGGAGGGAATGTCCCTTTCTCGGGGCTCTGGGGACAGTTGGCGCTGCTTTCCAGCACAACCCACTTCCTTCCTTCCCTGCCAGCTTACCAAATCACACACCGGCTCAATGCCACCACAGCCAACACTGCCACGGTGGAAGTGCTGCCGCCCAGTGCCCGCCAGTACACGGCCACCGGCCTCAAGCCAGAATCTGTCTACCTGTTCCGCATCACGGCCCAGACCCGCAAGGGCTGGGGAGAGGCCACCGAGGCCTTGGTCGTGACCACTGAGAAGAGAGGTGACTACCCACTGGGGCTGGGGAGGCCTGAAGGGCAGCCGAGGGGGCCCCCACCCAATCCAGGCGTCCAGATCCTCTCCTAGTGGACGGCTCGGGTCAGCTACTTAGGACTCACATTGCCCTGGTCTGGGGTGGAAAGTGGGCTCACATCCCTGACCGTGATGGTCAGTGAGGGCTCTCGCAAACCCAAAGCTGAGCTGGGAGTTCCCTTCCAAGGACCCTGCTCTGCCCTAGCTCCCAGCTATCTAAAGGGCCAGGATCGTGAGACCACCTTCCAAGAGCGTGTCCAGTGGGGTGGAGGGTGGGCTGCAGCCTGGAGCGTCTCCCCCAAGGTTGGGTTCCCCAGAAGTAGGCCTGAGACCCAGATTCCTGTGAACGTGATTTATTAGTGTTCCCCGGGAAAAACCAGAGGGCAGTGGTTCTCCACGGGGGGGGGGGGGCTACTTTGCCCCCCGGGGGACATTGGGCAATGTCTGGAGACATTTTGGTTGTCACAGCCAGGAGGGAGGTGTTACTGGCATCTAGCGGGTAGAGGCCAGGACTCTGCTACGCATCCTGCAGCGCACAGGACGGTCCCCATAGCAGAGAGCCCCCCACTCCACATGCCAAAGTGCTGAGGCTGAGAAGGCCCGTAGTGGAGCTGGGGGGTAGCGTGGAGGGGGGCAGTGAGGCTCAGGCAGGGTCTGAAGCAGGGTCCCGCAAATGTGGGCTCCATCCCACTGGACAGGGGACAGCGTGGGTCCCATGTCAGCATTTGGCAGGCAGGGAAAAGGAGCTGGGGTGCCGTACCTCCGGACGGTCAGGCTCTGGCTGGGCTGCCCTTGGGAGGTGTCAATACCCAGGCACCGGGGCCTCTAGCAGCCTGAGGATGGCAGTCTGCCAGGAGCCACCTGTGCCGGCAGATGGGACCTGTGTGCATGGAGATGGGACAGGACAGGGGCGTCAGGCCTGAGCCCAGAGCACCTCCCTTCCCCTCCTTGAGAAAGCGCCCTCTACCGCGCTGGCTGACCTGCTGTCCCGCTCCCTGCCACCCCCAGACCGCCCCCAGCCCCCCAGCAAGCCCGTGGTGCAGCAGGAGGACGTGAAGGCACGCAGCGTGCTGCTGTCCTGGGAGCCGGGCAGCGACGGGCTGTCCCCCGTGCGGTACTACACCATCCAGACCCGGGAGCTGCCCAGCGGCAAGTGGGCGCTGCACTCGGCCTCCGTGAGCCACAACGCCTCCGCCTTCCTGGTGGACAGGTGGGTCTGCCAGCATCTCCGCCCTGCCCCCCTGGCCTGGGGGAGGGCTCCTGCAGCCTGCCCACCCCAGGTTTCCTCCACAGCACGCTCACGCTTGGCCCCTGCAGCTCTGTCCTCCCCGCCCTCCCCCTCTCTGGAGCCCTGTTCCAGCTGCCTCTTAATTATCTGTTTCTGGAGCCTAGGAGCCCCCTCAGTGAAGCCCTCGCCACCCTTCATTAGCGATTCCTCCCAGCCAGGCGGCATCTTTAATAGGAGAGTGGCGCTTCCCTCCAAAATTCTGGCTTCAATTTAATTCCTAGTGGGTCGTATTTTTTATATTCCAATTGACGTGACCAAGAGTTTGGAGCAGTGCTTTCCTCCTCACCCCCCACCCGCAATAAATCAAAAAGGAAGCCATTTGCCTGGAGAGGAAATGGGGCTTATAGAGATGAAGTGTGGTTAACTCTTGAGAACCTCGACCCTTCCTAAATGTGCTAAATTCAAGAAAGGGATGGCAGTTCCTGGAGGGGGAGTTTTGTCAGAGGGGCACTTGTTGAGGCTCATGTAGCTGCGTGTTCCTCTAAGGGAGGAAATAAGCAGACATTTCCTCCTGGGGACCGATGGCTTAAAGTGGAGCTAAAGGTGTGGCCACACCCCAAGGTGGCACGGTCTCAGGGCTCTGGCCCCTGTTTGTTTCCATTGTGGCAGAGCCTCTTGCTGAGCCTTGATGTTCCCATCTGTGCAGTGGACTGTGGGCAGCTCCAGCTTGGCCCCTGGCCCCCGCCACCCTATCCCCCTTCCCCTCGCAGAGGTGGCGGGGCGAGGCCATTAGGGGATACCTCTGTTCATTGAACCTTACTCCCCTTATAGGCTCAAGCCTTTCACAACCTACAAGTTCCGAGTAAAGGCGACCAATGACATCGGGGACAGCGAGTTCAGCGAGGAGTCAGAACCACTAACCACCCTGCAGGCCGGTCAGTGCCCCCACTTCAATGACTTTTCTCTTGATCCACTGTGTACTTCCTAAGCACCGGCCAATCTCTTCTGGGGGGAAGGGCCTCCAAAGACGGGAGGGGCACCACGCCTGCTGGGCGCTTTGTCCGGCTCCCTGGGCAGAGCCCCACGGATGTTCGGGCCAGGGGGGCCTTTGCCATGGGCTTGGCACCCACACCTAGCCTGGCATCTTAGCATGTTTCTTCTCTGATGTCCTCTAAGCTGGTGGCTGACCCCAGAAAACCAGTGAATAGGAGTGGGGGAGCCCTGCAGCAGCAGCGTAAGAGGCCTGTGGCTCCAGGAGCAGAGAGAAGGGGCTCTGGGCCCTTGGGTTTGGGCCGGGATCAAGGTCGAGTCCCTTCACCCTGACCCTTTGTTCTGCAGAGGTTGGGGTGGTGGGCGTGGAGGGCAACTTAAGCTGGAGCTGCCCACAGTCCAGTGTTCACAGAATCTGGTCCCGTGGCCTCCCAGGGAGCCTAAGGCCCAGCCTCCAGAGCTCACCTGTCTGCCTCTCTCCCCAGCCCCCGACGAAGCACCCACCATCATCTCGGTGACACCCCACACCACCACCTCCGTGCTGATCAGATGGCAGGTATGGCCTGGCAGGCAGGGGGCGCCTATGTCCCACGAGGCCTCAGACACACTCTGTGCTGGGACCAGAAAACCAACAGCCCCCACCAGGGCTGGGACATTCTACACACGTGCAGATATGCACGTGCACACATATGGACACATGTGTGCACGCAAACGGACACACATGCACAGACACACATGTGCATACACACAGACACACGTGTGTGTGCATGTACCCACCCCTTACTCCACTCCGGATAGTGAGATCAGCCCGATGCTCCCACAGTCTCTGCAGATGAGGAGCCAGACTCAGGGTGGTGACAAGCACAGCCCCAGGTCACACAGCAGGCAAGGGGTAGGGCCAGGGGTGGTGGCCTTAGGTCTGTTGAATGCTTGGACAGAAATGTGCTCAGAGCTTTCAGAAATCCAGCCCCACTGTCAGAGAATGGGTTCCTGATAAAGACCAGACACAGGTGTGCATGCCTGACCTGCAGCCGTACAGGGCTACTGTCCTGTCACCGTGAGCGGGAAGCCATCGTCCAGGTACAGACGACCCCTTCCTGCACTCCTCCCCCACTGCCCGCTCTCTGGTGGGCACTGCTTGCGAGGCTGAGAAAGACCAGGGTGCTTCTGAGAGACCAGTCCACCATGGGTGCCTGCAGGTCCTCCTGTGCTCTCGGAAGTCCAGCCTTTGAACTTTGCAGGTCACCATAAAGTCCCTAGAGTGGCAAACTCCTGTCTCCACATCTCAGGCTCAAAGGGGCAGGCACCACCCTTTGCCCACCTGCATCCCACTAAAGGGAAAACAGGGAGGGACCCCTGAGCCCTCCCCCAGCCTAAGGCTCATGGAGGAAGGCATCCCTTGAATGACAATGACCTAGTACAGCGGGGAACTAGGAGAGACTGGAACAGACCAAGGCCTTCGCAGCAAAGGGGGCTGATAGGTGCCCACAGCAGCCGGGGATGCAATTAATGAGCAAATAAAAGGCTAGGTTGTTCCAGCAGGGTTTTTAAACGAGGTATCATTAAAAATAGCTTCTACCAGGCTGGCTGGTAGAAGTTGAGTGGCTTCTACCAGGCTGGCTGAGTGGCTGGCTGAGTGCAAGCTCTGAGCAACAGCGGTTCGAGTCCTGGCCCGAGCTGAGCTGCCGCTGAGCTGCCAACAGGTGGCAGGATGGCTCAGCTAAAAAAAAAGAAAAAGAAAAAAAAGAAATAAATAAAAATAAAAATAGCTTCTACCTTCTCCAGAAACCTGTCCCCCAACTCAGCTGTGCAGGGGAGCAGAAAGAAAAGGGGATAATGATAATAATGATAATGATGATGATGATGATAAAGGCAGAGTGGGCAGTGGCGCAAACAGGCACACCAGCCCTCAGTCCAGCATAAGAGCTGGGAGAGGACCCTGGGCTCACAGGACACGCCAGGAAATGGTGGCCAGGTCGTAGGCAGAGGGGTCAGCAGGCTGAGTGGGGCTGGTGATCGTGTCAGGGAGTCCTAGCAAGGACCAGCTCTATGAGGAGAGCCAGGGTTAGTCTGGGGCCCCCGCCCATGCTGTGTGACCTCAGGCAAGTTCCGTCTCTGAGCCTAAACGGCGCGGCTTGGTGAGTCCTGTTCCTCCCTGCCTCGCAGGCCATGCTGCAGGGACGAAATAACCTCGTTGGAATGTTTTGTAAACGAACAAATGCTCAGTTTCATTTCGATTCCTTTCCCTGGTTGAGACTCAGTCTCCGCTCTGTGGCCACAGGATGGGGAGGGAGCCACGTGGAGGGCATGAGCCGCGGGGGTCCCGGCCCCTCTCCATTGCCCGCTCTCCCCTGCAGCCGCCAGCCGAGGACACAATCAATGGCATCCTCCTGGGCTTTCGGATTCGGTACCGGGAGCTGCTCTACGATGGGCTGAGGGGTTTCACGCTGCGAGGCATCAACAACCCAGGGGCCAAGTGGGCAGAGCTGACCTGTGAGTGACACTCTGCGGGAGTCGGGGGGCGGGGGGACGACACACACTCGCCTCTCTGCCTGGCATCTGAGCTTCCAGGAGTCACTCTAACCTGAAACCCTGCTGTCCACCTGTGTGTGCCTCTCACCCCTGTCCCCTTCAGTCACTGAGTGAGTAGTTATTTACTGAGCCCCCGTCTACATGCCCCGGACACAGTGAATAAGACAGACAGGGTCCCTGCCCTCTCGGGGCTGCAGCCTGGGGGAGGAGCCAGGTATGCAAGAAGTAAACCCTGAGAGAGACGTCTAAGATGGTTGGCACGACCGCTATGGAGGACGAATTCCAGGACAGCCTGAAGCTGTTGTTGGAAAAGGCTTCCCTGGGGGGGCGGCCATGGTGCTGACACTGATAGAGATTCCATGTCAACCAGGCCAAAGGAAAGGGGCGAGCCCAGCATGTGCAAAGGGCCTGAGGTGGGAAGGAGGACCAAAAGCCGAGCCTGGTCATGTCCCAAGGGCAGCAGTCCTGCCCCCTCTGGTTTCTGAGGAGGTCAGTGTCCTGCTCTGGAATTCTCAGAGCCCAGCCTACCTCTAGGGCAGGTGGAAATTCCAGGGAGAGTCACAAGCGAGGGAATGACCTGTTGCACTTTTGGGTTAGGAGGGTTACTTAGGGGGTGTGATGGCTGGCGATGGGGTCCAGAGGCAAGGGGGCCAGTTAGAGGTTAATCTAGTAACGTAGGTAAGAGCGTGAGGTTGGAGCCAAGGCACCAGGTTAGGATGGAACTGAGGGTCGGTATGGGAGGCGATGTGCTGCAGGCTCCATGAACAACCCATGTTGGGGACCAAGGGGCAGGTGGCAGAGGGAGCAGTCCAGGTAGATGGTGACCACTCACCAAAGCAGAGACCAGCAGGACAGGGGAGCCGTTTAAGACCCTCTCCGTTTTGATGGTTCCTCCCATCACTTTCCTAAGCCTTCTGAGCCTTGTCTTCTAGTGAGAACTAGCAGATGCCCAAATGATGGAGCGCGTAGCCAGGGCACGTTAATAGGAGGACGCGGAAGTCGCTCGTCCAACAGCTCGCGTTGCTGTATTTATTTATTTTGCAGACGTGTGCTTGTGGTTGTGATTTTAAATTGCCTGTGTATAATAATACCGTCCTAGTTCCTGGCGGTAAAATAGTTTCTGGTTCGTCGGGGAAAATGAACGACACCGCTATTTCACGGTGGTTGTGTAGCAGCTTCGCCTTGGGCAGGGGAACGAGTTGGGACCAAGAGGGTCCCCCAGAGCTGTCCCCAGGGATGCCGGGCTGCAAGGGGCTCCCGGCACCCCGTGCCCTCAGACCAGCACACCCTGGAAGTGGGCAGCACCGACCTGGGAGCCTGCTTGCCCCCACGCCCGCCCTGGCCCCTAACTCAGCCTGTGTGTTGCTCTCCCTCCCATTCCTCCCGCCTCATCGGGGTGTCGGTGGAGTGGGGGGTATACTAACCTCCTCTGTCTGCTGTCTCCCTCTGGCCCCTCTGCCTCCTCACCTGGTAGCCTTGTTCTCCACGCGGAACCTGACCCAGCCCAGCCTCACGCAGTACAAGCTGGACAGTAAGTCTCCCTGCACGGTGGCTCCCATCCAGGCCCCCGCCCTCCACAGGGATGGGGAGTGGGGCCTCTGAGGACACCTGACCACAGGCCGACCTCAGTCTGCTTGAAGAATGGGACCCCTCCTTAGCACATGTGACTTCGCCGAAGCACACAAAACCGTCAGGAGTGACCAGGGAAGCTCTTTTCCAAGCCCCTGTCCATCGGGGGCAGGATGGAAAAGAAACTGGCTCTGGTCTTGAGCGCTGGGTCGGGGGAACGCCAACAAGGGGCTCCGTGCTAGGAGCGGCTGGCTCGATGGGCAGGCGCCCACGTCACTGCCGCCTGGTCTGGCCTGTCAGAGGTACTTTTCGGCACAGATCTGACTTCCAGACCCAGGCCGGTCCCCATCTTCTCTTCAGGAGCCAGGAAACATTCCTGCCCCGTGCCTGGCCCAGCCCCTCCTCTGCTTCCGAAGCCCTGGCTGTGCGGCTCCCCAAACTCTCCCTCGCCTTCCTTCCTCAGCCAGTGGCCCGCACAGGCTGCGTGGCCAGTTCTTAGGCTGACTCCCCACTCCCACTCCGGTGGAGGGTGGAACTTCCTCCCGGGGAGGGGAGTTCGGAGAGGGGTGGAAACTTTCAGCCACTCCCCTAGCAGGGACAGAGCCCCCACCCAGGGTGTCGGAGCCCATTTCCTGCACCTGCTCCCCTCACCCAGCTTTTGTCCAGGCGTTTCCATCCAAGCGCCCCAAACTCAGCAAAAACCCGGGATTTCTTAGCCCAGAACTCACATCCAATAAGCCTGTTCCCTAAGGGCTGAGCCCCCTGTGTGGGGAACTGGGAACTTAAGCATCTGCCATGTGGGGAAGGCGTGCCCTGTGACCGGGTGTGCCCAGGACAGCCTTGGTTCATACCAGTGTCCCAACATCAATACTAATAGTGCTCCTTTCAGTCCCAAAAGTGTATAGTGTGGTGACCCTTGGCCGGGAAGCCAGCCAGTGTCATCTGTGTCCAGATTCTCAGAAAGCAGGCGGAGACTCCCCGACACCCCACCCCGTGGCTGCCCCCCCTTCCCTATTCTTTCTTTGAAACTTCATACAGGGGCTAGAATCACAGGGGTGCCTCACGCCAGCCTCCCGCCCCCCAGCCTCCATTCGCCATGCTGGCTCCATCCCCTGCAGAGACAGTGACCTCTGCGTGTTTGTCCCCTCCCCCACTGTCACCCACAGACCTGAACAAGCACCGGCGATATGAAATCCGAATGAGCGTGTACAATGCCGTGGGCGAGGGGCCCTTGAGCCCCCCACAGGAGGTCTTTGTCGGGGAGGCAGGTGAGCTCAGCCTGTCCTTCGGGCCCCAGCATGCCTACCTTACTCCCACGAAGCCCTGTTAGGGGAGATACGGGGTCCCAGGGCCCCAACCTGCCCCAGCCTCCCTGGAGTCCACTGACACTGCACATTCACCACCCCTCACACCCTCCAGTGCCCACGGCAGCACCCCGCAATGTGGCCGTCCATGGACCCACGGCCACACAGCTAGACGTGACGTGGGAGCCACCCCCACTGGAGAGCCAGAATGGAGACATCCAAGGCTACAAGGTACGGGGTGCCCTGGCAGAGAAGAGGGTTCAGAAGGGCAAAGGGCGAGGCTAGGGGTCATGTGACCCACGGGAGGCGGTAGGAGAGGTCCCCAGGTCTACACCTGCTCCCCTGGCTGTGTATGCACAGTCCACAGACATATTATGTGGCTGGAACAAAACTGCACCCCGCCTCTGCTGAGTCCTGAGGGCGGGCTGAGCGCGGCTGCAAGAAACTCAGGCCCAGCCTCGGCGTCTATCACCTCCAGGCTGCAGAACCCCCTCCCCAGCCCACCAGCTCCAACGCCAGCATTAGACCCTGCAAAGCGGTGATTTGGGGAATCCGAATTACAATATTGATGCTGCTGATGATAGCCAGTTAGCAAAGGACCACTGTCTAAGACTCAGAAATCTCTATTTAAAAATCATTTCTGAATTTGGGATGATGTCATGTGCTATGACAGGATTCAACTGGTCTCTAACAGTCACAAAGCCCTTGAGAACGCCTTAATCCTCTTGAAAGCCCTGTAAAGCTGGCAGATTATAAATGGTGGTGCCCATTGTATAGATGAGGGAGCCGAGACCCAGTTCAGGTGGCCTGGCGAGGTCCCCAAAATAGCAAGTGACAGAGAATCAGATTTCAGGTGTGCTGTCTGGTGCCCCACAAACAGCAGGGAGGAAGCACTGAGCACACAGCCACCAGGGGAGGAGGAGAAAGTGATAATGTTACTGTGTCCCCTTGACTGGAGCCATTGGGACACACAGCGCTTGGCCGTGTTTAGGACCTGCCTCGCCACCCTCACTCCTGCTTGTTGGTTGTTACTCCAGAGAGTGGCCCAGGGCAGGGCGGGTGGGGCGTGTGGGGGCCACAGGGGACTTCATGGTCACCTGGCTCAGCCTTCACTGCACAGGCAGAAAGCAAGTCTCCACAGAGGTAAGAGGCTCGCCCGGGTCACACGGCTGGTTAATGTCGGTGGCCCCAGCATTAGACAGAATCCGGACTAGGTGTCTCTTTCCATCTGGGGTGAAGGAGGCGGGAGAGAGGAGAGGCGTCTTGCGAAAGAAGCTCTAAGGATGGATGACACCCCTGGAGTCCTTGCCTGGGAGTGCCAGCTGGGAAAACTAAATACTGCACCCCAAGCATATGCCTCCATGGGAATAAGAAGGAGCCAGGCGGAGCCTGCAACAGTGTGGCAGCCACCAGACGGTCGAGGTGTGAAAGGCTCCAGTTAATATGCAGACTCGGGAAATGTGTAGGTGCACAGGCTCCGTATATCCCCCCGCAGATGTCTGCAGTCTCTGGGGAACATGGCAGCCATGGACGTTAACTGGGGAAATGCAACTGCCGCCTCCCAGACGTGGAGTAACCTCCACATCCTTTAACACTATATCAGTGTCACCAACCAGTGAGCACAACTGAGATGAACTGCATTTGGGTCAGACTAAGGAGTGATGTGTGCACGGGCCGGCATGTCTGGGCAGCTGTAGTTGTTCAGTGATGCGTGTTTATTGAGCAGTTATTTTGTGCCCAGCGGCGTTCTCGGTGCTGAGAATAAAGCAAAGAGTAAAGATGAGCATAAATTGTAGGGGAAGGAGACCAGCGACTTTCAAAACAAATGGCGGCTCCAGATGGTGGTAAATGAAGCAGGGTAAGGGGATAGACAGAGATCCAGGAGGAGGTGTGAAAGTTTAAATAAAATAGTTAGGGAAAGACGTAATGAGAAGCTGACCCTTGAGCAAAAATGAGAGAGAAGGCCGGCTGAGTGGCTCAGTTGGTTAAGAGCTCGCTCAAGGGTTTGAGCTCTGAGCAACAGCGGTTCGAGTCCCGGCCAGAGCTGAGCAGCCGCTGAGCTGCCAACAGGTGGCAGGATGGCTCAGCTGAAAAAAAAAATGAGAGAGAATAGGGTGTGAATCACATGGCTCTGGCAGAAGAACGTTCCAGAAACAGGAAAGAAAAGCAAAGGTCCTGGGGGCAGTGGGTGCTTGGCATGGACAAAACCCAGCCAAGAGCCCTGTGTGTCCCCGAGTGAGTGGGGGACAGCATGATGGGAGGTGGGCCTGAGCAGAGACGGGGGCCTCATCGCCCTCGCTCTGAATGAGATGACAGCCATAGAAGGGTTGGGGCAGAGGAGGGGCAAGGGTGACTTGAGTCTTTTAAGGGCTGTGCTGGCTGCTTTGCGGAGAGTAGTCTGAAAGAGGGAAAGCGCGAATCCAGGAAGAGGCCACTGAATAATCTGATGAGACATGGTGGTGGCTCAGGCCAGGCAGTAGCCGGGTGAGAAGTGTTCGCTCTCAAGTTCCATTTGGAGGGTAGCGCTGGTGGAACTTGCTGATGAGTTGAACGCGGTGTGTGAGAGAAGAAGCAAGGAGGATTTCTGAGCAGTTGGATGGCGGAGCTTCCTGTTACAGAGCAGGAAAAGACAAAAGACAGTGGAAGGAGGGGGCTCGAGGGAGAGCGCTGGAGTCGGTTCCAGACGTCTGATGGGTGCCCAAGGGGAGACACGGAGCGGGTGTCTGGAGTTCAAGAGAGGGGTCCACGCTGGAGACGTGAATTGTGGTCTTCAGCTTAGGAAGGGCACTGAAATTCCGGAGGTTAAACATGTATACAGAGAAGACACAAATCTAAAAACTGAGCTTTGGGACCAAAAAAAGTGAGTGAATCCTCGGAACCCACGTAAAGCACATACATCCCGAAGAAGCCGGGAATGAGATGAGCCAGCTACTGTTGAGAGCTCAAGCAAGATGAACTCTAGGGAACAGTTATTCATGGATTGGCCAACTACAGGCCGTGGGACAAATCTGGCCCTCCACCTGTTCTTGTAAATAAAGTTTTATTGAAAAAGGGCCACGCTTATGTGTTTACGACTTACCTTTGGCTACTTTTGAGTTGATAAGGGCAGAGTTGAATAGTTGCAGCAGAGATGTGTGGCCTCCAAATTCGAATAAGTTCCTTACCTGGCCCTTTACGGAGTTTGCTGAGTTCTGGATTATTGCATTAACCAGGCCAAGTTCATGGGTGACTCTGATGAAAGTTGGGGGCAGAGGATGCCTGCTTGGAGAGGGTTTGAGGGAGAATGAGGGGAGGCAGCGAGCCCTGATATCCCTTCTGAGGGGTTTTGCTTTAAAGGGAAGTAACAAAATGGGGTAGGAGCTAGAAAAAGACAGTCAACAGAGGGGGTTTTAAGACAGAAGAAATAACTTGTGTCTGTGCTGAGATAGAAATGATCCTGGAAAGAGGAAAAGTTTGATGATTCAGGGAAGAGTGGAAGCTGAGGCGGGGTTGATGTCCCCGAGGAGGTGAGAGGAGGTGGGATTTGGTGCACAAATGAGGGGTGGCCTCGGAAGGGAGTTGGCAGTTCAGTCACGGTGGCAGGAGGGCAGTGGCGGGTCCAGACACATGGGCAGGTGGTGGTAACAGTGGTGAGAGGAGCTTGTGGAAGTCGCGTCTGATGGCTGAAGTTTCTCAGTGAAGGGTCCTCAGCTAAGAGGGACCGTCTCCAGTCCCCCAATTCTGGTCTCTCTTGAACCTGCTCCAAGGAGCTTCTCGTCCCCACCCCCCCCATTGAAGCTCTTCCTGTCTGGGCCGTGACAATTCCGGCGGTGATCATCTGTAGTCAAACGCAGGCCTCACCCCGCCTGGCTTAGCTCCGGCTTTTGACACGGCAGATTTCCCTTCCTCCCAGAAATGCTTTCTTCTCTCGGCTTCCTTCACTGGCTGTTCCTCACTCTCCTTTGTTGTTCCAACCCCTAAACACTGAGGCTCCAGGAACCAGTTCGTGACCCTTTATCTACATGAATTCTCTTCGTCCGCTCTCAGCAAGTAATATCTATATGCTGATAACACCCAGATTTTAGCGTTCACCTTGATCTTCCCCCTGTACCCCAAATTCAGCAACAACTTTGTCTACTGTTTATACCCCCGTTACTATGAATGGGCAAAGGAGTGAATGAATGAGTGACTTAATGAATGACTCCTCAATTCTCCCTCATCTACCCATATCAGAAGACTCTGTAAAAAAAAAGGAGCGGGGGAGCAAAGGGTTACAGAAAAGAAAGGATTTCAAGATGTTCTAACTACCATTCACACACGCCAGGCAGGGACACTTTTATTAGCTCTTTCTCACTTTTATTACAATAGCTTCCTCCAGGCAAACTGAGAAATTGAGAAGCCAGTGGCATTCAGAAATCCCGTAGGCCAGCAGGTGGCGCCAAATGCTCTCTAATCCTCCACCGTGGCTTGGGGTTGACAGCTTTCTGGCTGGCCTCAGGTCAGAATTCTAAAACTAGTGCAGAATCTGCGAGGTTCGCTGATTTGGGGTGTTAACCTCGCTGAACATGAAGTAATTGGAAGCACCGTGGAGCACCTGCGATGCCCCTGGACTGAACCCTTCCGTACCCATGCAGTACCTTTGTTCTTTCCTCCTTATGACCTTCACTCCTCAACTTGGTCCGAGGAAGTGGGCGTCCTTAACCTCATGTTACAGACAACAAAACCTCAGCTCGGGGACGTCACTGGCCAAGTCAAGCCTTAATAAATGGTGCGCTGGGGTTCAGCCCCAGGCCGGCCTGCCTCTGCACAGGACTTCGCAGTGTGCCGGGGCATCACGAGGGGGGGGCGGGGCTTGTCAGCCTGGAGATGCTGGCGCAGCAGATCCGCGGTCCACCTGACACCCTGCATCCATCACCGGTGCCCAGGTGATGCGACGCGCTGGTCCTCGCACCCCACTCTTCGCTGGGGGTGGGGTGGGGGACTCTACCCGGCACTTATCTCCCCGCTCAGGTTCCTGCAGAACAAAATCGGTTTATCCCTCCAGTAACTCCGTTCTGAGGGCCAATGGGCCTGTGCCATGCTCAGTCCTGCAGGCACGGCGGAAAACAGTTACAGTGGGTCTGTGCCCTTGTGGGGTTTGCAGTCTAGCACAGGCTGCAGTACTAGAAAAGGAAGGTTCTGGAAGGGTTTCAAAAACAGCTCTTGAAAGCTTTGATACTATTTCCTGGTGACCTACACCTGCCATCCCGGTGTGTGGATAGTGCAAATGAAGACCCCGGGGCAGGAGAAAAGCCGGGTGTCTGTCCCTCACTGCCGCGTGGTCTGTGCCCACAGATTTATTTCTGGGAAGAACAGCAGCGGAACCTCACGGAACGGGTGAAGACACTTTTCCTGGCTGAGAACGGCGTGAAACTGAAGAACCTGACCGGCTACACCACCTACATGGTCAGCGTGGCAGCTTTCAACGCTGCAGGGGACGGGCCTCGGAGCGCCCCCACCCGGGGCCAGACCCAGCAAGCAGGTGGGGAGGACACTGGAGGGAGGACGGGGAGTCAGCCTGGGAAGTGGAGGAGGGCTCCTGGGGGGAGTGCAGGCACCTTATCCCGCCTGCTGAGAGATCGGGGCTGGATACCCAGTCTCCATGGGACTCGAGAGAGAGAGAGAGAGAGAGAGAGAGAGAGAGAGAAAGAGAGAGAGAGAGAGAGAGCTGCCCACAGAGAGGGGCCAACATGTGATGCTCCGAAGAAGAAGCTGTTCCCATTCAGCCTTGAAAGGAGCCCCCAGATCTCACCCATTCTCCCCCCGCCTTGCCCCCATAGCCCACCTTGCCGATGGCCAGTCCACACCCAGCCTGCTCACTTCTGCACCCCGCCCGTTCCCACCTGATAGTCTCACATTGCCCCCGCTTTGTAAATTCCACAAGCATTTCTTGAACATCTCCTATGGGCCCACACTATGCTCAATGCTGGGGTCCTAATGGTGAAACAGCCTGACAGGGCCCCCCTACCCAGGGAGAGAGACAGACCGTAAACAAGCACAGAGACGAGTAAACCTCTGGTGGCCGAGTCAGTGATCTACGGGCAGAGGCCAGGGGTGGGCAAGAGGGCTTTGGATGGGTTTGCCTGCAGAGGCCTCGCTGAAGGGCTGACATCTGAGCTGACATTTGAGTGAGGAGAGGAGGCCGGCCGTGGGAAGTTCTGGTGGAGGGCTGTTCGGGGCAGAGGGAACAGCAGGTGCAATGGTCTGGAGGCTGGAGGGGATTAGAGGGGCAGAGAGAAAGCCAGGTGGCTCGCAAGAAAATATTCGAGAGTCAGGTCATAGAGGAGGCCTTGGAAGGAAGATGGGATTGAGTCTAAGTGTGACGGAAGCCACTGGTGGGTTTAAGCAGCTGGGCGGCAGAATCTGGTTCCTGTTTTTAGAAGATGGCTCTGGCTGCTGTGCAGGAGACAGACTGAGGAGACAGGGTGGAGGCAGGGAGGCTCGTGGGGAGGCTGGAGGGTGGGGCGGGGCAGAGGAGAGAGGGATGGTCAGAGCCCTGCTGCCCACACATGCAGAGCCAGCCCTCTATATGGTGCTCAAAGTCACTTTTCAGGCACTATTACACTTGATACTTCCAGAAGCCCTGGGAACAGGCAGGGCCAGGCATTGCCCCATTTCACGGTGAGCAAGGGTGGCCCGGGAAGTGATGCTTCCCAGGGTCCCCCAGCTGGTCTGTGGGGCAGCAGGGGCTCAAGCCCAGAAACCTGAGCTTGCCCCGAGCTGTCTTCACTGCACCGGTCCCCCTCCTTTGCCTGTCATGGAGTTCTGTCCTCGTGGATTTGAATACAGGCCTCTTGTCCTCGCCTCCTTGAAGCACCTTTTCCAACCTGCTGCTTCCTATCCGGTAAATCGCAGTTCCTCTTAAAGACAGAGCAAGGCCCGTGGAGTCACTTCCTAAGCATTGTCCTCTTCAGGGACAGGCCTTGGCTCCAGGAAAACCCTTTCCCTCCACTGGCTCCCAAGGGCCTGCCTGCCTGCCTGCCTGCCTGTCCTGACCACTCTCTGTCAGTGTCATCAGCCGGATATGAGCCCCTGGGGACCTGGAAGCTTCCGTCACTATGGCATCAGGACAAAGTGTTCTATCCCACGTTCCTCTAGCTGAGGGGAGGCAGGAAAGGCCCCCTGCACTTGTCTTCCTCCTTCAGAGACGGCTCAGTGATGGGCCTGTCCCAGAGCTGGTCGGAAGCAAGATCCGGATTAGCTCCGGCTCCGTGGGGGCGGCCCTGGACAACAGTGGCCTGGTCATCCCCCCGGAGCCAGCTTGGGATGCCGCCCAGCTGATGCTCCCTCTCCGTCCTCTCTGTCCTCCTCCAAAGACCCTCCACCCCCAAGTTCTTGGGTCGCTTCAGGGTTCTCAAGCCAAGAAAGCATCTCTTCCGGAGGGTTTGACAATCCCTGGCTCTGGCAGCTCCTGACAGAGTGGCCTCTGGGCGGCAAGCCCCCGGGCCCTGGGGACAAAAGAAAGGCCACATCCACTGCAGTTCTGGCATCTTGTTCAAGGCCCACCTAATAATAATAATAATGCTCTGAGGCCCTGACACCCCCTGCCTTCTCCACCAGCGAGGCTGAAAGACAAGCCCCACAAAGCCGGAGCATGGCCTGGCCCTGCAGAGACCCTGGGGTGCGACACAGGCGTATTCTGGGCTCTTAGCCAGGGCTCAGGCCACTTAGCAGGAGGAGCCTGAGTTCTCCAACTTTAGGAAAAAGCAAGCCCCCTTTCCTCCCAATTCTTGGACTCTGAATTGGAAAGTGAATGCTAAAGGCGCAGTGGGGAAGGGGCGGGGGTCCAGGGACCTCTGGTGACCCCTCCTGCACGAAGCCCTGCTCTCTTCTTATCCCCTGACCCAGACCCTACAGCTCTGGCTGGTTCCTTGGAGCCGAACAGGGCTCTAAACATCCAGAGAAACAGGAAAAAAAAGCCCTGTGCTGTCTCCCCCCTGCAGCCCCCAGCGCTCCCAGCTCCGTCAAGTTCAGTGAGCTGACCACAACCTCGGTGAATGTGTCCTGGGAGGCCCCACAGTTCCCCAACGGTGTCCTGGAGGGCTACCGGCTGGTGTATGAGCCCTGCACCCCCGTGGATGGTAAGTGGGACCCCCAGCGTGGCTCCCTAAACCCACCTGGCATGGGCTCCCTCTTAGCCAGGGCCCCCTCCACCATCACTGCACAATCCATGGGTCAAGCATCTCCCCAGCTTATAAAGAGGAAACTGAGGCCTGGACCAGGGAGGAAGGAATTCGAAGGTGAAACAACAGCACATTGGAGGCAAAACTGGAATGGTGCCTAGGTGCCCTGACTCCCAGGAGAGGATTTTTAAGTATATTCTTCCCTGTCAGTGAATGGCAGTGGGGGAAAGACCTCTGAGAGATAGAACGTCCCAAAGTGGATGGGTCTCTGTCAGGCCCATGAAGGTGGGGCACCCCTGATGGACGCTGCCTACGCATGCTCCCCCAAATTTAGCATCTCAGCCTTACTCTGAGTTTGACCTTCTTTGCCTTTTGTGGGGTCAGAAACTCATTTGAGAATCTGATGAAAGCCTACAGCCTTGCCCCAGAAGGACGCAGTTTGGGGGGTCATTGCACCCCTGTTCCCTCTGTGAGCCTCAGATGTGAACCCTGCTGTGTAGTTTGTCTCCCTGTAATCCTGAGCCCCGTTCATCTGAGCTATCCTCAGAGCCCTCCCTGCAGCCCCTACCCCACCCCTCCCTCCAGGTCCTGGCTGGGACCTTCCCCCATCCTGTTCTCCCCCAGGGGGCTGCTCTACCACAGCTGATGTGGGGTGAGCCAGAAATCACGGCTATTTACTTAGAGAGGTAGCAAGGAGACTGGGCTCCCGGTTGCCTGTGTCCAATTCCAGAGCCCGGCAAGGCCTTGGGGATGTGGCTGGCCTACCAGGTGGCGCCCTGGTGGTCAGAGGTGACTGCCTCTGGGCTCATACCACCCTGACAATGGAGCCTGGCCGGAGCAAGGGGCGGGGCCCTGAGGAGGCCGCAGAGGCCAGCAGTTCTGGGTCAGCCGAGGGAACAATGGCCCTCAGTCTTCTCTGCCACCACCTGCGTGCCAGCAGCTCCCTGCCCTGCAGGGCGGCACTGTGTGCCAGGGCACCGAGGGGGAGCCAGCCCCAGGAGAGGTGGTCAGGTGCAGGGCCCGGGAAAGGGGCCATCTGTCCCGAGGGCAGGAAGGAGAGGACACAGGTCACGGGCAGAAACTCAGGGGGACGCTCATCATAGTGGCCTCTGCCTGGCCTGCCCGGGGGACTCCCACACCTTGAGAGGTCTGAACGCTTTGCTGTTGGTTCCTCCATCCAGTGGGGTCTGGACCACATGGCTGACCCCACCCCCTTACACATTCCCGTCTGCCCATGATGGCCCAGCTAGTTAATAGGACCCTAAAGCCTTTTGTGTGGCTAGATGATGCCCAGCCTAGCTAGCACAGCATCTGCGCCCCTGGTTCACGCCTCAGCCCTGGGCTCAGGTCAACAGTATCTGGCCCCCAGAATCCAGCAACCCCTTTCCTGTAGAGAAAACCAAGGCCCAGGGAGATGAAGGACTGGCTTGCTCCGAAATGTCCCAGAGCCGGTACCCACAGCTGCTCTTCTGGGCCCTAAGGCAGATCCACACATCACCCTACAGGCCACTTCATTCCTGCAGGAAACACCTGAGCACCCACTGTTCTGTCATTTAGCTCTTCATTCATTCGATAATAGATTGGGCACCTACCACACACCAGGTGCTCTGCTGTTTTATTTCATCTCATAACGTCCTGCCTAAGATGCTATTGATACCCTCACTCAGTAGGAGAACAAACTGAAGCCAGGTAAGGGACATGTCCAAAGACCCCCAGGGCCAGCGCTGGGGTCTGAGCCCAGCCCACAGGCCGTAGAGCTTGTCTCCTAGTGGTGACCCATGTGCTTGGTGGACGTGGGAGCTGAAAGCCTGTCCTGGCCCTCGGGGAGACTGGTGGGCAGGAGCATTTTAGTTTGTGAACCACAGAGTGCAAACTCCCACCTCCTAAAAACCATCCCAGGCCTTCCCTCTAGTTGCCATGATTTGGGGTACAGTTGATGGAGGGCTCGGTGTGAGCTCCTGGCTCTCGCTGACACAAGAAGGATGAGGGAGCCCAGGTGGAGCTGAGGTTGTCCTGGCTGCAGGAACTGAGGTTGTCCTGGCAACAAGAGCTGAGGTTGTCCTCAGCTGGCTTCAGGTGTGTCCCCTGGCTGTGCTGCCTTTTCAGAAGCACTTCCTAAAAGGTGATCCTTGGGATTCAACTTCGGTGGGCTGTGACATGAGGAGAAAAAACAGGGATAAAATAGATTTGGGGTGCCATGGTCAAGTTAAACAGGATGGTGAGTTGTTGTTTTTTTCTAGATGCTGACAGCCCCTCTGGTTACTCAGCAGACACACAGACAGTAGGTAGCTTTTCTCAAACTCACTTAGCCCTGGAGCCCTTGGTCCTAAGAACAGCCTGCAGGACAGTGGCCTGAGAAACAGTCTGGGAGGCACTGCTGTGTGGCCGAGGACGCAGGTCCCGCCTGATGCCAAGGGGACACAGCCCTGGCAGTATCTGCCGCCCCTGCCCCGCAGCCCTCACTGGCCCCATAGTCCCCACATGCTGTGCTTTCCCCCCAGGAGTCAGTAAGATCGTGACGGTGGACGTGAAGGGGAACAGCCCTCTGTGGCTGAAGGTGAAGGACCTGGCTGAGGGCATGACCTACCGGTTCCGCATCAGAGCCAAGACCTTCACATACGGGCCCGAGATCGAAGCCAACATCACCACGGGCCCAGGAGAAGGTAGGGGTGCTTTGGGCAGACATGGGAGCTGCCACCCTCCACACACAGCATTCAGCCCCGCAAGCTAAAAGGGGTGTCCAGAGCCATGCTAGAGCCGAGAGACACGGGGATTAGCAAGACAAGGTCCCTGGTGGAGCTGGTGGACTTGGGGGGCTGAAACACAGAGCAGACACACAGGAGCTCAAGCGGGGGGCACCTGGGGGGAGGAGAGGTGGGGGGAGGACGGCAGCTGGGCTGTAGAGGGCCACCTGCACCATCCGATGTTTCTCAGGATGCCGTGTACGTGAGAACCTCTGGAATTCTTGAGGTAAATGCAGATTCCTGGGCCTGAGGAAATCAGAATCTCTGAGCACCCACCCTGGGAATGTGCATTTGAATGAGAGCTGAGGGTGGCTCTTCGGGGCTGGCTGTGAGAGCCACTGCTCTGGAGGGCGTTGAGGCAAGAAGACGACTGGCCCAGCCAGATGCAGGGTCACCTGCCAGCCAGGCTGCACCTTTCCGGGACAGAGGCTGTGGCAAGGGTGGGGCTGGGGACAACCCGCAGAGAGGGGGCGCTCTGGGCCCAAGGCGGGAGGGGAGGGGAGGTGGAGGGAAGAGGGGCCTAGAGACCAGAGAAAAAAGGTGGCTTGGCTTGGGTTTTGTGACACGTCTGAGGTCCTCCTTGGGCTGGAGGGCTTTTTCAGGGCGCCCGCAATGGTTGAGGTTTAGCTTTCCAAGGTCTCTGTCACTTATGTAGGACATCCCAGCCTGAACACAAAAGCCACCTCTGAGACCACTCTGTTCCCTCCCTCCCTGAGAAGGAACACAGCCATCCCAAACTTTTCCTAAAATCCCTCCTCCCTGCCCCGCCGGCCAGGCATGGACAAGGCCTCCTTTAACCAGGGCCTGGCTTAGCCTGGCCTCGGGGAGGTCAGCTGGGCCCAGAGAGGCTGCCTGTGCCGCCGTCCAGGCAGGTTTGCCTTCCTGGCTGGTGCAGGCTCGCCACACTTCACTCTCTCTTTCCGGGCACTTTCTATTCCCGCCTCTTGTTCAGCAGAGAGGCTCCTGGGCTCCATTGGCACAAAGCCCGCAGGGCTGCAGGAGGAAGCTTACCCCGGAGCGGCCCGGCTCTGCCCTGCCCCTGCCCCCAGCCCCTCCCTGTGTACCCCTCACCTGAACCTGCTTCCCCGGGAAACAAAAGCAGGAAGAGAGCTGTCAGGGCCAGCAGTGGCATGGGGACAGGAGACGACCATGTGGAGGACAGACTGTTCTAACCTGAGGCCTGAAGTGTCCCAGGCTGGGGGCGGGAAGGGGGCCCTCTGAGGAAGAGCTGAGCAGCACCCCGTGGGCATGGGTGAGGAGGGGTCCACAGCGGGAGGATGTGCAGCCTGGTCCCCTTTTCCCCCAGGCCAGGCCACGGCTGGATGCCGGAAGCTTCTGGTCCGGGAGGCGATGACAGCTCCGTCTCTCAGCCCTGAGTGCCGTCCTATGCAGAATGAGAACTTGGGGTCTTGAAGCCCCACCTCACCCTTCACACTGCCTTGGGGTTATGCTCCCCAACCCCAATCCCTCAGCTGCCTTAGTTCTGTGCTATAGGCAGGACGCACGTTAGGGAGGGAGGGAGAAAAGGGAGGGAGGGATGGAGGGAGGGTGGAAGGAAGGAAGGAACGAAGGAAGGAAGGAAGGAAGGAAGGAAGGAAGGAAGGAAGGAAGGACGGAAGGCAGGCCCTCCAAGGTCCCGGGTTGGGACTGCACGTGGGGCAGGCAGTGGGCTGCCAAGCTTTATTCGTGAGGCCCTGGCCTCCTGACTGTCCTACCAGCTCTGCTGGGCCCAGAGGACCTTCAGTCCGGTGCTGGACTCTCGGCTCCTTTCCCAGCAGGCATCCACAGGGGCCACCCTCTACTCGCTCAGCCAGCCAGTCGCCCACCGCGCATGGTCTGGTTCCCTTGTCCCACATGCACCGACTACGTGCCTGGCTGTGGGCATGCAGGCCTCCACATGGGATGGGGGGCAGGCATGTGAGTGACAGCACACAGGGTCATGGCCTTTGGGGCAGTAAGACCACCAGGGATACGCACTGGCTTGCGCTACAGGGCACCCCCAGACAGTAGGGGCTCGGGACCCTTGGTAGACAGAGCTGGCTCACTCCTCCTGTTACTGAAGCAAACCCTTGCTGCTCTGGCTCCTGGGGCCCGTGCCTCAGAGCATGGCTGGCTGCGACTCTGATGCGCCTGCCACGCCCGGGAGCCGGTGGGGGAGCCCAGGTCTTCCTCCTCTTGCAGCAGAGGCCCAGGACCTCCTGCTGTCCCGGCCCCCTCTCTCCTTGCCTCATAGCAAATGCAGCTGGGGTTGGAGGATTTCAGGCAGGAGGTAGGAAGGACATTGTCATCACATCCAGGAGAGATGTTGGGGGGCCTACCAGCACCCCCAAAACCAACCTCCTCCTATCATGGGCCCACTCCACCGTTATCACACCCACTGCCTCCCAGGACACATCCCTTCAAGCCTTACATTCCAAAAGGCCCTTACAGATGGGGAAACTGAGGCAGCGGAGAGCTATGTGAATTGATCGGTCATCCATCTAATGGTTCTGGGTTGGAAGCAGAAACCTGGGTCTCCTAAATCTGCTCCAGGAATCTTTCTGGCATCACCCCATATGCCCTCTCCTGCCCCTGAATTTAGAATTCGGGAGGGTGTGGGTGACCCAGAGGAGAACGTCATTGGATCCGGCAGGCCCAGTCTGAGCCGTGGGCCTTGGTGCGTGCAGGGCTTCCAGACACCCTGGCCAGGTTTGGTTTTGTCGCCCAGCCCCTCCTGTTGGAGCACCGGGAGACAGGCTGGGTGCCTGTCTGGCTCTGTACAGCCCTTGCCCACTGTGTGCTGTTTGCAGGTGCCCCGGGACCCCCTGGAGTGCCCATCATCGTGCGCTACAGCTCTGCCATCGCCATCCACTGGTCCAGCGGAGACCCCGGCAAAGGGCCCATCACCCGCTACGTCATAGAGGCCCGGCCTTCAGGTACGTCCTCTCCCTGTGGAGCGGGAGTCCATGTCTCACTTTCTGCCTCCTTCCCGAGTCCCTCCATTTGGCACACTGTCTCTTGTCACCTGAGACGGCGCTTGTGCTGCTTCAGGCGAAGCTCGAGGTGGCCTGTGTGAGTGGAAAACGGGGAGGTGCATCCTTAGTTAAGGAACACCCCCAGAGGCCCCCAGAGAATGGTGCTTAGTGCCAGGTGAGGACCAACTCAGGTGGAGGATTATTCAAGAAGTCAGAGAAGCCAAGTGTTCAGCTCCCATGGATAAACACCCCTGCCCGCCACACAGCCCACTGACCAATGCCCCATAAGGAAGCCGGCCGTTCCCCCAGGGACCCCAGCCGCCTCTTTAAGGCCCGTCTCTGCCATCGTGACTGCCTTGGCAATCCCTGTAACCGTACCAACCTCTCCTGTCAAGCCTGAAATCGAATCACAGGAACTTCCAAAGCCGTCAGGAGACGAGTGGCTGATAAGCCGCTCCAGGGGGCTGCTCCGCGCACTCCTGTTTCACTGTTGCCACGACACCCGCTTCTCCCGGCTCTCCTTACCCACCGGAGCCCTCGGCCAATGCCAGCTGCGTCCGTCGCTAGGCTTCCAAGTTACTCAGAGGCGCCAGGGTCAGCGAAGGCTGGAGACTTCTTCCTGGTCTTCCATGGACCTGTGATTAACTGATTGAAGTGGAGAAATTAAAAAGCAAAACAAAACAAAACACTTTGCTGCTCCAGCATAAACAGCAAATAGCAGTCATCATGGGAGGAAGTCAGGCGTGGCAGTAGCTACGACTTCGAATGGGGAGCATTGAAACATCCCAATGACAAATGGTCCATTCCTCAGGGTAGCTGAGCACTCGTCATCTCATAGCTAATAGTTAATTCCAGTAGTTTCAGGAAGCTGCCACCACCCCGTCATTGCCTTAATCTTAGGCTAATAATTACAGTGGAAAATAGCTAATACATCTAACAGCTCAGCTCCAACGTGTAGCTGGAAGGTGTGTGTGTGCAGTTGGCTCTCTCTCGACGCCAGATGGTCCCTCCCCAGCCCTCCAATGCCAGCTGCTGAGTTGGCCAAGAGACCGCCGTGTGCTGCTCCCAACCAGGGCCCGAGCCTGTTTTTTCCACCCAAGTTGGCTGGCCAAGGTGCCAGGCTGTGGAATGTTGGCTGCAGACATTGGCCCTGTTGATTTTCCTCCATTCCCTGGGAGGCCTGGCATGGGACCTGGCATTCCAGGTTTGGGGGCTGTGACTTAGTCCATACAGGTGGGATGTAGGACTGAGGATAAGAGGAAGGGCCGAACCAGGACCCCCAGAAGGGTCAGGACTCAGAGCAGTGCCAGAGGGCTGGCGATGGGGATGGCAGGCGGTGAGGAGAGGAGAGAGGGCACGGGGAACACCTCTCCCTGCAGTTGTGTGGGCGCAGGCTCCTATTACGGGTGGGCATCTCCCCTACCTCCATGCCCCTGGTGGTATGTGGCCTCACCCTCCTCATCTTCAGGATGTGCTGTTTGCTGGGCAGAATCAACTAAACGCACCTGCTTTCTATGAACAGAGAGTAGCCAGGCACTGAGACCATGGCCGGGGGACGAGGCGGGAGGGGTGGGGGAAGGGGGGGAATCACTCAAGGTTTCCGGCCATTGGAACCCGCCCACAGATCAGCCGACTGGAGTCCAAAGCCACAGCATGACATTCCAGCAGCTTCTGGCCTGGCCCCATTGCCCCAGCCCTACCCTTTGTTTCTGTGTGGGGCTGGACGAGGCGGTCAGACAGCAGGCAGGAGGCCCCAGCTTCCTGGAGGCAGCAGGGGCCTGGATGAGCCCATCCGGCAAACCCTGATTGTACTGGACACCATCCTGGACACCCAGAGGGAGTTAGTTCGGTGCCCAGAGGAGTCAGAGGCTCTGGGCTGAAACTCCAGCTCTACCACGAAGGGCCTTGTGGCCTTGGGAACATGGGTGCAGCTGTCTTCGAGCCCTTGGTTTCCTCAGCTCTGATATGAGCACCACAGCTTCCTTTCTTGCCGCTGCTGCGGGTATGAAAAGCGAAGCCCTTAGAGGCACGATGCTTGATGAGAAATGAGTTGTCACTGTTGTATTGTCACCATCATCATTATCATCGCTGTGACTGCCCTGAATGCGAGAATTCACAGAGTCGCCGGAGGAAAATGGATTTGCACCCCAACCCTTCGATTTCGGGGCATGCGGTACTGAAATTGGGGCACCTCGTGCTCTGAAGAGGCTGGGGAAGAAAGGTTGGGGTTTATTTATTCAACAATAGAGGATGCCCGCGCATAGACAAATTCAGCATGAACCCTGCCCTGAGAAATTCCACAGCCGAGCAGGAGAGAGAGCAAGACATTACACAGAAGATGTGATGTGTAAGGAGGCAGACACCCAAAGCCAAACAAATAAGATGGAAGGTGTGTCCAAGGCTCAGGACCCTTCTGAGGACAGCAGACTCCTCCTGTCCTCTCTGGCCCCTCTTTCTCCTCTAATCTCTGCTTCTAAGCATGGAGATGGGCCCCATCCAACCCAGACAACAAGACCAAACCCTCACAGGCGACCCCAGCCCCTCCTGAAACTGTTTAAAACACACACACACGTCCTCTTCTTTCTGTTTGATCCCACACTCTATATGTTTTGAATAGGAACAGGGATCAGAAAAGTAGGGGCCTTGTTAAGTCCCAGAGGGCACACCCATATGATAAAGTCTTAGGGAGCCACTTAAAATCATGTTGAGCAGCACATTTTCATGGCACGGGAAACGGAATATGCAGAGTTCTGCCTACAAGGGCGAAAACGGTACGTCTGTTTGTCTGGATGGTGGTATTGGGCTGCTTGTTATAGTGTTTTCTGCATTTTATACATTTTTAATATTTTATAGACATTTTAACAAAAAGGATAAAAATGTCAGATACTACAAAAAGGCATCTTTAAAAACAAAAGTCTCCTGAGGACCAACTGGGTGTCAAGCACTGGAGATTGGTGTTGACAGGCCCGGCTCTCAGGGAGCAACAGGTAGTACGGGGCGGGGGGGGGCCTCCCCCTTACGGAGCACCTCCCTCTCTGCTCTTGCAGACGAGGGGCTGTGGGACATCCTCATCAAAGACATCCCCAAGGAGGTGACCTCCTACACATTCAGCATGGACATCCTGAGGCCGGGCGTGAGTTATGACTTCCGGGTCATCGCAGTCAACGACTACGGCTTTGGCACCCCCAGCAGCCCCTCCCAGTCTGTACCAGGTATCGGCCTGTGGGGGTGAGGGGTGGGGGTGCTCCTTGGAAGAAGCTGGGCAGTGGGGAAGGAGGAGAGGAAGGGGAGCCTCAGAAGCACTGAGGTGGGGACCGAAAGACACTGTCCTCTCAATGCTCCGAAGCAGTGAGCCGGGGGCCAGGGCCTGAGTCAGCTTTCAACTCCGGAAGACGCTGGAGACGCTGACACTTTGGGGTTCCTTTTCAAGGACTGCAGGAGCCCTAGGCAGGGAGCCCAGTGGGCTGGTGGACAAGTCAGTGTGCCCAAGATGAGAGCTTCCGTGAGCTCATCGCCCAGGAGATTCAAGGGCGCCAGACCATCAACGGTGTGTTTCCATAGAAACCGCCCCCTAAAACAGACAGTCAGCAGCCAGTGAGGCACATTTTTGCCGACCTGCCTGAGGAGCGCCTGGATGGGGTGGACTGCCACCCTCCCCGTTCTCCTCCCAGTCTTCCTATCCTATCCGGCATGTCTCAGCTCACAAAGGACTCGTATGAAAACCCACGGCCCCCAATCTAACCCCTAACCGCTTTTCATACCAAGGCCCCGTCCCTCGAGGCAGAAATATAACTCAGACACTCTCCTCGCCGGGTGAGTTTCCGAAACCTGGCCGCTTCCCTCCTCCGGTACATTTTCACCCTTGCCCCGATCGATAGAACCGAATGGTGGGGAAATAAACACTTCAGGACTGAAATAGAAACCAGCCCCTCGTCAGGCAGCAGCATGCATTAGACGCTGGGTGCAGAAAGCATGACACTGGGGGCTTTGAAAGATGGGAACCCTACCTGGAGAGGCGTTCCAAAGACCCACTCATGTCCACCTTCCCAACTCCCCCTGCTTTCTGCTACCAGAAGAAAATTGGTTCCCAACTCAAGCAGGGAGAAACTCTCCCAGGCCCACCACAAGCCAGATAAGCACATTTCCAACACAAATTTGGGCCCGCCTACCAAGGTAGGTCAATGGAAACAAACAAAAAATAAATGGCACGGCACACTCCCCCCGCCACCCCCCTGCACTCCAGCCCGTGTCTTCAGCAGACATCACTAATCAATCGTGGCACTCTTTCCTAATGAGCCCAGAAGCGACCTTAGAATGCCTCAGCACAGCCCTCTAGGCAGCCCAGCTGATCAGAGCTGGCACTGGAGATGAAACTGCCCCTACTAAGCCTTGTCTTAGGTTCGACCTCACTCAGAGGGCACAGACCCCGCCCACCTAACTGAGAGCAAGTGGTAGGGTCCTAGCTGGCGTGGGAGGTGTGGAGGTAGAAGGGGGCCGAGCACCCCGGCCCCAACACCCGCTTCATGTTCCAGCCCAGAAAGCCAACCCGTTCTACGAGGAGTGGTGGTTCCTGGTGGTCATCGCGCTGGTCGGCCTCATCTTCATCCTGCTGCTTGTCTTTGTGCTCATCATCCGGGGCCAGAGCAAGAAGTATGCCAAGAAGACAGACTCGGGTGAGTTGGCGCCCAGCCCTGCTGGCTGGACGGGACTTTCTTTTTGGCCTCCTTTTTGGAATGGGGGGGGGGGGGGGTGGAGGTCTCTCTCTGTCCTGGAAATCATCTGCTCTGATAGGTGGGGCAGCCAAAGCTTCCTACACAATCTCCATCTCTTGTCTCACTTTCAACTCTAAGAAGAAACACGGGGCAGTCCAACCGGGTGGAGGAGGGGAGGCCACCTGATCTACAGGGATGGAGGGAGTGACCGGATGTCAACCTCCCCCCCCACCCCCACCTCAGGGAACAGTGCCAAGTCTGGTGCCCTGGGCCACGGGGAGATGATGAGCTTGGACGAAAGCAGTTTTCCTGCCCTGGAACTCAACAACCGACGACTCTCCGTCAAGAACTCCTTCTGCCGGAAGAACGGCCTATACACCAGGTAGCAGGCTGTCTGCATGGGGGACCAGAGGATGGAGGTTTGGGGACCGGCAGTGCCCCCCGGGGCGTGGAGGACTCTTGGGAGGGCCACTAAGCAGGCAGTGTCCACTTAGCCTCACCGTGTCTTGGAAACGGCATTCCAGCTCAGCACCTGGGAACGGTCGGCAGAATGACACAGAGAGGCCCAGGCGGCACTACCAGGGGTTAGGGGGCCACAGCCCGGGCAAGGGCACACTGGCAGAGAAGCCACAAGGAGATGCGTACAAAGGGTTCCTGTCATTGAGAGCAGAATGCAAATAACCTGCACAATTTTGGAAAGCAACCTACTCCCATTTGGAGTCAGCTGTTCCTAGGAACAGCCTGAAGCTGTGACCATCACTTGCCCCAAAAGGGAGATGGACCCAGCCAAGGTCGGCTGGGCAGACACGCCTAAGTGAGAGGTGCCAGGAGCTGCCCTGATGGCTCGTGCCCTACCCGCCTTCCTCACAGTTCTGGAAAGAAAGGGCACTCCCAGTGTAGACACCCTCTCCCCTGGGTCCTCTCGGACACTTGTTGTTCAACAGTTTTCTCCCACCCGCCCCCCAAGTCCGCACGCTCAGCATTGTCCGCAAAGGGCCACACCTGAGAGCAGCCAGCCGGGAAGGATGGCGCTGGTGGCACACGGCCTCCTGTTTCCTCCTGACTTCTCGCCAACCCCAGGCTCCCTCCAAGTCCCCCTCCCTGTGGCCGGCCGGCCGGACTGCCCATCTCCACGGGCAGGGGCAGCTGACAAAACTTCTCTCTGTTTGGTCCTCGAGGGAAGAGGCGACGTGTGTGTTCTTCAGGACAGAGGGAGGGGTGCACAGGCCAGCGAGGCCCAGCTCTCATCCTCCGCCAAAGCTAGCTTTCCAAAGAAAGGGCCATTTGAGGCCGCAGCGGCAGGCCCAGCATGGCCACCACAGCCCCGCCAGGCTGGCTCCAGGGCCCTGCCACATGGAACAAGGGGGTGTTTCACCGGCAGCCTGGCCTCGCCTGCCTCTCACGCCCCAGTGTACACACACAGACGTTGGCCCCTGAGTGTCCCTACACTGTGTATACATAGAAATCCCATTTGCACCAAACCAGCCCCAGGCTCCGGGCTCTGCCCCAGCCGCGGTGACACTGCCAGCCCCGACTCACCCTGCCTGTCGCCAGCACAGCGTTAGCCTGGCACCCCATCTTCTCCTCTTTGTGTTCTATATTTGCTTCTCTTGTGTACATGAAGCTGCAGCTAATACTGTTATCATTTAGTTTTTAAGGAATTTTATAGATGGGGCTTGGTTGATTGGAATTAAATCAGTGCAGATATAGTGCAAGAGGTTGGCGGGGGCAGAGGGTTGCTGGTGACATATTTCCAGGCCGCGTGCGGGACTGTTCTCAGAGCAGCATTTCTGCAGCAAACAGCCATTGGCCCCTTTGCGGGCAGCTGGGGTTCAGAGCCACAGTTGGAGAAAACCTTCTTTCTGGAGCAGACTGGGCAGATCTCAGGGCATCAGGCCGTGGACAGCACCCCCCTTGCACCCCCTCCTGAAGGCAGTATCGTGGAGGACCCCGGCCACCTGCCCAGCGCCCCCGGGAGCCTGCCCTGCCCACTGTCCTTATCCTGGGCTCACGTGGCTCAGGAAAGTGCAGGCCGTGCCTCTAGCCTCCGGGCACCCCATGGCTGGTGGCATGCCCAAGTCACCCTGTCCTGGGTGTTGATGCCAGTGACTCAGAACCAGGCCTCTCACTCACGGGGAAATGCATAACTTTCTAAAGGGCTTTTCAAAGGTAGGGTGTGACTTAGGGCCTGGGACTGCTGCTGGCCTCAGAGCAGATGAGCAGGTCGGGAGGAAGGGAGGGAGACAGTGGTTTTCCTTTTCCTCCCAACCCTTTGTGTTAACTCTCTAAAGCTCACTTTGTGAGTTTAAGAATTACGTGGGGAGTGTGTCTGCAGTGCAGGTCTCCAAGCCTCACCTGAGATTATGACTCAGGCGGTCTCAGTAGGGCTCAGACGTCTTTGTAACATTCACTGTCAGGTGCTCCCAATGCCTGCGGTCTTGGAACCACAAGTGGAGAATCCAGGTGCCCTCCGCTCATTTTCCTGGAGCTGGTTCTGGAGGTTGGCTCAGCGCCTGGAGCCTTCCCCACGCGGGGCCTCCAGCCCACGTCCCGCCCTCCAGGGCACAGGCCTGTGAGGAGCAGACACCATCGGATGGAGGAGTCTGAGGGTCTGCGGGCCTCCAGGCCTCACCGTGGCCTCCCCGGGCCTGGGGGAGGCTGCTCTGAGGAGGCCACCTCTCAGCCTCACCCGCCTTCTCTCTAGGTCTCCGCCCCGGCCCAGCCCGGGCAGCCTGCACTACTCTGATGAGGATGTCACCAAGTACAACGACCTCATCCAGGCAGAGAGCAGCAGCCTGACCGAGAAGCCCTCGGAAATCTCTGACTCTCAGGTGAGGTGCAGGAGGACCAGGTGCCCCGGAGAGAGGAGCACAGCAGCCCGGTCCCAGAGTGCAGACCTGCGCGAGGGCTCATCTCATGAGCGTCCTTGCCACCTTTACTTTAAGGGCCATAGAGACTGAGGGGCCCCAGGAAACTATTCCGAAGTCATATGGTGGACAGCTGCCACCTCCCATGCTCTGCTCAGAGTTTGCGCCCAGGCCTAATGGGGTCCCTAGAATCTTGGTCATGTAAGATCCCCTAAGAGCATGGTCCTCAGACTCTCAGGAGTCACCCCACATGCACAGTCACTCAATGGCTCTGGCCTGCATAGACTTGTGAAGGTGTGGAGAGGGGGGCTGACGCAGCAGCCTGCACTACCAGAGCCCGGAGAGCCATACACTGAGCCAGTCGGGGTCACAATGAACTCAGAAATGGAAGGCTGGGTGTCCTGGAACCCCAAGAGTGGGGAGCAGTGTAGACTGGTGAGGTGTTAAGCTCTGGTGGTTCAGACCTGAGTTTGAATCCTGGCTCTGCTGCCATGGGGCTGGGTGCCCTGGGTGTGGTAGGTAACACCTGTGAGCCTCGATTTCTCCATCGGTAGAATGGGCAGGGGTAACAGCAGGCTCTCTCGTGGGGCTGTGGAGAGGACTCACTGCGACTGGGCACAAAGAAGCTTAGCGCAGGGCCTGGCATATGGCAACTGTTTGATAACTGTCAGCTCCTATATTAAGAAGGGGACGGTGCCTCTGGAAGACACAGAGCTTTATAGATGCTGCCATTAGGTGGGCCGTGAGGGGTCACTCTGTTCCAGGCTATGGGGAGAGGGGGCTGAGTACAGCCCAATTAAGTGATGTTGTGGCTTTCCTCCCCAGTCTTCTCTGCTTTGGCCACGCCTGGTAGTTGCCCAGGAAGGGCCGAGAAAGGCCACTGTGTCCCACGGCCTGGACCTTCCGGCCTGGTCCTGGGAGAGGACAAGAAGGAAGAGGTGCCAGCAGGGAGCAGGGTTGTTGGCCGTGTAGGAGGTGCCAGCAAGCCTGAGATCCGCTGCGGGCCCCATGGACCGAGGCCTCTTGCCCGCCGCTGTTTTGTTCAGCTCCAGGGTTACCGATGGGCTTGGCAGAGCCAAGCAGGCCGGAGTTAACACCCCAGCTCAGAGCTGGCAGGGACAGAGACCCCAACTTAGCCTGGCTTCCACAGGGACTCATGTGATTCAGGTTGTGGCACCTCATTATAAGTATTTAACTCCTTGAAGCCACGTAAATAAGGGGACTTACAAGGCTGTGCTTCCCGGGAGCGTGATTTTTCTCTCTTTGTCCCCAAAGATGGTGATGAGCATTTAGATTCTAGGCACTCAAGGTAAAATTCAGAAAGATAAGGGAGGGACTCACTCTTCAGGTGGGGCTGTCACAGGGTGCTTAAGCCACACTCGTATATACAAAGTGGTGGCCAGCCAGAGGGACACCCCATATTGCTCTGGTCAGCCTCTCTGACCTTCTGCAGAGGGCGTTATTATCCACCCTCAGTGCCCGAGCGCTGGCCTTTCAGGGAGTAAGCCCTCTAAGTGCCGGAGATGCTGCCTGCTGGCTCCAGTGCTTTCTGCAGCCATCCCTGCGTGAGAGTGGAGGACCCTCACATGGGACGCAGAGCTGGTCCCTGAGGCCGTGCCAGGCCCCCAGCCATCCCAAGACTATCCTGCTTCAGAAGTTCACTCAGGATGGGCAGAGCACCTGGGCTCCCCCACTTAGCCATTGGTCTCATTTGTTCAAAGTAAGCTCATCACTTCAATACTGTTTCCATAGCAACTTGGAACCAGTCACCCCCAGGAGCACATACCTTAGAAAGAGAAGGCTTCCCGGTTCCCGAAGTCATTTGTCACAGCAGAATGCCTATGCCCCTTTAGGGGCAGTGGGCCTGGAGAGTTTGGGTTGGTTCAGGGTTTGATTTGGAGTTGGTTGGGTTGGGTTGGGCTGGGTTTATTTATGCTAAAAGCTGAGCTCCATGAAGAAAGGGACGTGTGACAGTTCTGATTGCTGTTGTATCCTCAGCGTCCTACACGTCACTCTGTACACATCTGTTGGAAGCATGAAAGGGGCATTGGGGAAGCTAATCCCACGGAACAGACTCTGAACCAAGTACGGTTGGGGCGCTTCTCAGCTACACTGATGACAACGGCCACACCCCCAGGGTCTGCGCTCAGGGTCCCACGTGCCTCACCGCTTTATAGCATTGCAGTGACCTTCCAAGGCAGGCGTTAGCGTCATCTTTTCTGTACCTATGGGGAAATGGAGGCTCAGAGAGCTTAAGGGAGTTGGCTCAGGTCCAACAGCCAGAAGGGTCAACCCGGGATCCTGGCTTCCAAGATGCAGAGCCAGACCCAGGGTACAGGCCTTCTAAAGGCAAAGCCCCCTCGGTGCCACCCCTATGCCGGTGATGTCACCCTCATGGCAAGCCTTTCTGGAAAGGCCTTCGGAAGTGGCTGATGAGGCAGTCTTGAGAACAAGTAACTGTGGATTCTCTAAAAAACTCAAGCCTGTGTTCAGAGGATGAAGAGAGACACTCAGAGGAAAGTGCTACAGGTGCAGAAGTTGTTTAGACAATAGATCGCTGGTGTGATTGTCCCACCCCAATAGATGGTAGCTTTGGAGGGAAGTAGCTCATTTGAAAAGCAGCAGCACAAGGTTGTAGTTGGTGCGAGGTTGTGGTTGGTAAGTGGCCCTGAATTGAACCCCAGCTCCGCCCCTTACTGACTCTGAGATGGGGAGGGGTCCTTCGAAGCCTCACCCACCCAGCACAGAGGCACCGTCTGTCCAGGAGGCTGTTATAAGGTGTCAGGCCTTGTAAGAGATGGTGTCGGGCCTGTGCAGTGCCAGGTTCATCACGGGCCCTGCAAAGGCAAGCCAGGATCATTTGCATCTGCTTGCTCTAGAATGGTCCTTGAAGCCCAGGCCGTTGGCTTTCGGGTCACTGCAGGTAGCCTAGGATCCAGGAGGCTATTACCAGTGCATTGGTGTCCTCAGAGATGGGAGAGCCCAGCGAGACCTGAGAGCGGGCGGCCATCAGTCACCCATGTTGCCCAGTCCCAGGGCATTGGCACATTGTTCAAATGTTGAATGGCTTCCATACCTGTTAGCAACAAGCCACCACCCTGAGCCCCTAAGTGTCACCAAGAGGACCCCAAGCAGACAGCTGTGTGATTCTGCAACTCCAGGGTAATGCCTGCTTCAGCCAGTGGCCTCTCCTCTGTGCCTCCAGGGTCAGATCAGCGTTTGTGCCTTAACAGCTAAGGCAGCCTGGATGTTGGTATCTGTCCAGGGCAGTGAGGGCAGCTCCGGTGGGTGCAAGGGGTGAGCAGACGCTGACTTCCCAACACTCATTTCCTGAACCTGTCCTCTGAGGACAGGGATGTGATGGAGACATGGTCGTGCCTCCCAGGAGCTCCCCGTGGGCTGGAGGGGACAGGCTGGAGACAGAGCCGCTGGCTTCCCTCTGGTGCCCTCGTTACCAACACAAATAAGTAAATCCTGTGAGCCTCTCTACTGTCCACCAGGGTCTGGATTCAGGAGCACCCTCCGTTGTGACTTTCAGCCTGGGGTTTATGGTGATTGCCACGGTTAGTCCTCCTGCCCTGATGGTTTCTGCGAGGACATGTCCTTAAGGGTCAGCAGCCACACAGGCCAGCCCCTCGGTGTCAGCTGTTCTGGAGAGTGACTGCCTGTCCTCTGAAGTCCCCCTCCCCCCAGGTCCTCTGAGAGTGAATGTTGTGTATGCTGCCTGGTTGATATTCGAAGTCAGACCACCCAAAACTCACTCTCCAAACTTAGTGGAAATCTGCCAGCCGTAATAAACAAGAAGTCGATGTTACTTATAAACAGACACGCATGATACGATGTGAGAAAGGCCGTAACCGGGCTGTGGTGAAGGCTTCAGGGAGGAGGGGCTGGTGCTCCCCAGAGGGCACAGGGCTGGGTGTGGGGACCGCTGCTCCAGGGCTGCGGGAGAAGGGGGTCCCAGGCCTGGGGACACAAAGGCTGAGGCTTAAAGAGCCCAGGGCGTGTTTGGTGGAATTTCTAAAACTGAAGGATGGCTGCCTTCCAACTTCATTTTCAAAATAAGAGCCCAAGTTTGGTAGCAAACTCCCAAACTTAGCACACAAGAAAATCTCAATGGAACAGAAATTCCAAGCCATGGCACGCCTCTTCTAATCGCTCCTCAGTTCTTTGTGCTACCCTGGCAGCCCCTGTAAGCTCATTAGAATGGAATTAAGCCTATGTGGAAAAGCAAGAAAATATACAGAACAAGTTAGATCTTAAATCGTATTTATTGAGCACCAAACCATAACAGTGAACATTTGTGGCGCTCTTACTAGGAGCCAGGAATGCCTCTGAGGGTTCTTTGAGAATGGCACCCCTTCACCCTCAGAGAACTCCTGGGAGGCCTGGTGGGATTATCGCTGTGTTCAGGTAAAGACAGAAAGAGCGAGTCGGGGAGCCCCCAACACGAGGCCAGGCTCCATCACTAGTCCCTCTGCACACCTACTGTGCGCCACACACAGGATGGGCCCTGGATGGCACCTGGGAGGGGTAAGCGCTGGATTTGACCTCCATGGAACTTATTCTGTCAACAAAAGAATGTCCAGCCTTAGAAAAAGTCTTGTAAGATTTTCTTTGAGCCAAACTGATGACAATTGCTGGGAAGCAAAATCTCCACGGATTGAGAAAATGCTCCGGAGAACGGCAGTTTCACAGCTTATTTTAAACATTAGAATCAAAGGAGGTGACAGAAGGAGGGGTCCATGGAATCCACTGGTGGTAGATTAAGGGGGTGGGAGAAAGCAAAGGGGGAAATCTCTGGGATTGGGTACAAAGTAACACAGAGAGGCACACACTTCTTTCACATGGGTGGGTACAGGACAGTTAATATTCACAGCTCAGAGATGGTATGTGGGCAACCAGATAACAGTGTGGTCTCGCTCTGGGTCTGGAAACAAAGGTCACTCTGACATTTCAAAGGT